TTGTCTTCACTGTTGCAAGTTTTCTTAATGCCACTAACCTGTTCTATAGCAATACAATATTATAATGCACGATCTCGCCCAATCTGCAGTACTTGCCGATTAGCATAGAAGTTGGCGTGCTGACACAGGCACAAGAGATCTAGAAGCACACACGCTTATGTTCTTCATATGTCTTGTTTGTATCTACTTGCCAGCATGTTTTATGAATTGGAGCCAAGTGTGCCTATTCTCTGGCACTTCAAGGTAAAACTCCTTGTGTTCGAATTGCCATGAAAATCACTTTCATGCTTAGCTCTGATTACGGAAAAGTCTGATTTTGGGGTACCGCCTACCTAAGCATCGTACGCTTCCGTTGTGTAACGGAGTGTAATGTGCGGTACCTTATGTCTGATTTTGGATCGGCATAAGCCCTACGAAAAACTGCATAACTAAAAAAAATTGAATGATAAAAAGTCCCCGCAATTTAGAATCATACTTCCTCTGTCTTTATTCAATTCTCGTTTCCTAGTTTTGGTTGATTCCTTCAGTTACAGGTTCCTATACTCGTTTTTTGAATCACTTATGGTTTTAAGATTGACTTTTTTTCTAATCATTTCCAGCATTCACTTCCAATAACCCCATTCATTTCTGGCTTAGACAGTTCCGTATATCCGAAATACGACAAAACAGTTTAAAATGAAGATGAAACAAACAAAGCTTGTTTTTATTGCGAATTCATTAAATGACTAGTCAGGAAAGTTCTTTTAATAATTTGACGCACATCCTGGCATGTCGTGTTGCAAAGAAAGGCACGTTTACCCAATTTCCAGATCAATCTCTCTAACCAACACTTTGCTACCTAACCGCCGTTTTGACGAACTTGATGACGCGCAAGTAAATTCACCCTTTTGAAAAGCAATGAAAGTGATTGGCCTCTTATGTTACAAACACACTGAATCATACACACACAACACAAGTATATAGAGGCACGCCAAGAACATAGCAAATCTTATGATGCAAGAAAAATGACTAAATAGGCCAACCCACAAGAGTGACTCTGTAGCAATAAAAATGTTCCACTAACCTCTTTTTTATACAGGGCACATTAAGAAAATGACAACGGATGCATGACGACTCGGTTTCTTCTAATTACTGCAAAACCATTAGCGCTTGGTATAACGGGAAACAGTTAACGCAAGGAATGTACGTTAACGTTAGCGTCGGGTTCTGCAAACGTAGCATGTGGAGAACGTTAACGCTGCCCGAACTTTACGAACGAACGCTATTTCCGAAACATAACGTTCAACGCTAACGCAAGCAAGATATACTGTACGTAGAACACGATGGCGGTGCCTGTTGAAGCGAGATCTATCCACTTCGAATCTTTATAGTCGTCAGGTTGCATTGTTAAACGCCTTCACTCCCGAATACTGATCGAATTCGATTTAGATTTCAGTAATCAGGCTTCGCTAGCTGTATACTGCATAAACGAGCTAGGTCTTGGACTTTATTTTTGGCCAGAAGGATAAAAAAAATGGCTACAACGTTACCGCATGTTTTCGGTAGCCGCGAAAAGATGGCGACGCTGAATTCGTTCGCTTGTTTCCAAGATAAGGCCATTGCGTCCAGAAGTCAAGTGAGCCAGGTTGTAGGGGTATTGATAAATACTAGATTACGACATGTGTCCAAAGAAAGCGATGTGTTTCAGGCCATCAGACGTAACACTGAAGCAAACGCGGCACGGAGACGGACCAACAGTGGCTTCTGGCCAACTAGAATTACTGGCGAAGTTGAGGTTTCTACAGGGCACATAGTGTTTTTATACCTACTTGGCGCCGTAGGCGCTTGTGTTTGCGTCTGCGGGAATGCAATTCACTGTACTAAAGGAGCACCAGTTTACATGCACCACGTTCTTTTTTAGCGTTATCTTTGAGACGCACTATAACGCTAACGCAAGCGTCTTCCGATATACTATCTCACTCCTCAAGCAGCACACCGTGCTCTTTCTCAGTACCAGCACTTTCATCGTGCGACTCTGCAGGATTTCATGAAGACAAGTTAAAGCTCGGATCAAGAATTGTGAGGCCAAATTTAGTGCGCTTCTCCTCTTCACGAACATTCGCTAGCTGTATAATGTAGCGCGCATGCGCCGTCGCGCTTCGAGAACATCGGCAGCTGACGCGCGCGCATGCGCCGTTGCGCTTCTCCCCCTTCTCGAACATTCGACAGCTGACAGTGCATGCGCCGTCGCGCTGTATATATACTCAAGGTCGGCGCTCGCTCGCTCAGTTGCCGCTCGTCGGTTGGTTTGTACGGCGCGTCGATGTCCAAGGTCGCGGTGAAATGAATTCCAACGAATCCACAAACACAATGATCGACGTCCCTTCGACCAGCGCCGCTCTTTCGCATACGTGTGTACGTGTTCACTCATTTAACACCCCCTCCTACAACCACGTTAACCAATTTAGCCATCGACCCAAGTAAGTCGCAATTTAACACCCCATTTCACAACCACGTTAACCAATTTAGCCATCGACCCAAATAAGTCGCACTTTAACACCCCGTTAACCTATTATATGCTCCGCATCCTCCTCATAAAAAAAAGCTCTTTACACGTTTATCTGTAAACGTACTTGATCTCTGTATAGGGCCTCACTGACATAAGCGGAACGAAGCAAGGAGCGATTTTGACAAATAAGCGTTTGAATATATCTCAATATGATGAAACCAAACAATGATAGTTGCATAGCTTCGTGCGTTCTTCCCTCGCCTTTACATCCACGTGTTCTCTTCAGCGAAGGCTGAGAATAGGTAAACTATGTTCACTTTCAAACTTTATTGCCAGCGAAATTTCACTGACGCCATCGATTAGTTACGTAGTTCCTCTAGACAAGTTCAATAAACGGTTGTCGGAACATTAAACTAGCTCTTCTATTTCGCCCTCTGATTGCTTCTCCTACAAAAGGCTAAGTGCGACGTCTCGCCTTTGCATATATTTCAGTATAGTACACAAACGCAAAACTACAATGCAAATAGTTTAGCTTTTCTCTCTCTTTTTTTTAATTTTCTACAGAGTGGAGATTTGGCTATCCCTAGCTTTCCTCCGCAATTAAGAATACATTGCTAATGCGGCTTCCTCCAACCCCCATTTTTTCCACACACCAAAACCCTCCCTAAGTTTGAATACGAGATCGCAGCCTGCCTGCCACAAAATTCTCAAATGCTTCACTGGTAAAATTCGCAATGCTGAAATTCTGATTGTTAAGCAAGTACTAACGTCGCTCCCGTGTCGACAGTGAGCTTACTTTTCGAAACATCGGATCCAGAGGTATTTTTGCCCGATATCTTGTTACTTGAGGATTCTATGTTACCCTGAACTTTTGTGTTAACGATTGGGGTGGCCTTTACGAATGCTTATTCGTTTGGAATCGAAATGGCCAGAAGCCCGACATGTGACAACTGTGGCTGCGCAGAGACTTTCTACCATCTTCTCTGCGAGTGTCCCCGCTTCAGCGTGCCAAGAAAAGAACTGTCAAAAGCTTTAGATAGAATAGATAATCGCCAATTGTCGGAAGAAAGAAAGGGTATTAGGACACTGGCCGAGACCGTCCTCTGCACGCAAGGCACTGAGAGCGTTGTTGCGCTTTCTGCGGGCAAGTGGTCTTAGAGACAGACTGTAAACAGCGTCGTGGATCGCCTGATGACCTTCTCTCCCTTTTTTACGTCTCTTTTCTCTCATCCTTTATCCTCCTTACCCCCTTCCCCAGTACAGGGTAGCCAGCCGGTCTGAGAACTGGCTAACCTCCCTGTCCTTCCTCATTCATTCCTCCTCCTCCTCCTCCTCTGATCAAGACTTAACGCTATAGCGCAATGTCCAACCTCTGACAACACTCATTGCATTCAATGTTTAACATCTGGAGACACTAATTTTGAAGCAGGAAATCTTGCCAGTCTTGCTTCGCTCGTATGCTGTTCTGCATATAGTTTACTCTCTCCTGTTTCTCTCTCGCGCTCCGTGAATTTTATTTCATTTCGTAGTCAACTACGGAGGATGGGTGATATCAACTTATGTAGCCACGCATACCCGAAATCATTGCAACCAAAATCAGGTATCAGAAAATAAAGACTTGCTAAACACCGACTTGTGTGCACTTGAAGCATAGGAGTAAACAGTTATAGAGCTTCGAGAAAATTGTGATACCTTCTGCAGCAGACGGCATTCGGAAAAAGAAACTTTGACGTTGACATCATTTGTCGTTAGTTAAAATATACATCGCGCTTCAAAACACACAAAAATTAGAGCATAATTATGTACACGCGCAAAAAGGAACTGACCTCATTCGTGGGTTCATTTACAGCAACACACGTTTTTCTGTTTTGTGACTGTATCGCTAATACAGTCATTCGTATGACTTATTCAATGTGATCTCCTCGATTTATCAGCTTTTCGTTTCAGTGGTCGCTCAAATGGTTAACGCCTTTGTTTTGGGGAACCCCGTTCATGGTTCGTTGAGCCCAATGTTCTTATTTGTTAACCAGCACGTGAATTTAAGAGAAAAACCTAAGTACGGTGTATAGATGGCTTCGACACAACTAATAAATAGATTTTCTTTTGCAGATATTTGCAAGAATTGGGCGAACCTAAATATTGATTGTAAACTTGCCGAAACGTAAAATTCATTGAACAAACCGCAAAGCAAATACGCATTCTACAATGGAATATGATTGTTTTTGTAATATCTATCGCCATAACATTCAGTTCCCAGAAGTCAAGTGTGTTCGTCTGGGCAGCCGACAGTCACAAATACTCAGATACAAGATAATTTCGGTGAGACTTTTGTCACTTTATTATCAATTATCACTATTTATTCAAATCATCGAAAACATTTACTTTCGCCTTCTAACTGATTTAGCGAAATTCCGAAAGAGCACCAATAAAATATTTTCAGAGGTTTCTTCCTGGTCCACATAGAATAAATTTCGTACTCGAATGACAACAGCCTCAGTAAAACCTTAAAATGTTTGCTTGGCATTAATTTATACATTCAAATTCTCACAATCGCAAACACACATGGGCTCTGTCACTTAACGATCACAATGACTTCCCAATGCACATAAAATATACATGTCCTTATTGTACCATCAATAGCAAATGTTCATATAGATTAATGTATCTGCGAAGTTAATTTAAATGCACTCCGTAAGTCTCGGGGCCACACTGACACTAACACATTTATACGTGTACACAGACACACACACACACACATAATATAGCGGTGCCTGCATCAACATCCCTCCCAAGATGTTCCGTATGTCTGAGGACTGAAAAAAATATATAAAAAGGACCTTCGCTGTAGACGTGTTTCCTCTGTCATAGAATATTGATTTTGATTTGTAGTAGACATAAGGCATTCGGGAATGGTTACGGGAGGGAAATACGGCACAGTCACTTTAAGCGTCCACACGAATCGCGTGGCGCAGAAATGGCTGAGATGATGCACAGGCCCATGGTCATGTCCGTAGTCTACAATCGTGGACAAAGGTCAGCGCTGAGAATAGGCCTTTCGTGCGCGAGCAGTCTTTGTTGCGAAGAATCATAGAGCCTAAAACAAACAGTGGATGGCTCTTAAGGATGGCAGGGTCCTCGAGTCTTGCTTGGACGAGCGCTCTAACATGGAGGTTGGAACGCAGCCCAATGACTGTAGAGTAGCACAAAAACCAATGCTTCCGGAACGCTGACACATGTACAGTCCAACACCGTCAGGTGGACAAGAAGCCTGTTTATTGCACCTAGCCCGGGATGACGGTAGCTTGCCTTCATGAAGTCCTCGCTTGCGAACCCGTTGCAATGTGTCTCACTTAGTGAGATGCTGAACAGAAGGCACCCAGTTCCGTTCTCCAGTCTATGTACTTTTGAAGAGCTGAGTTTGTTTACCCAGTTTCTTGGCGCAAAAAGCAATAGGCTGCCCTTCGTCATTGTCAAAAACTTGGGAAACACGACTATGTCACTACTGCCGATTCTTCAAGAGGCTACTGAGATGCTTGTTCCTTCGGATGTCACGAACGACGTCTCCTCTGTCATCTTTGTCGAGCCGCGCACAGCGTTGTGATCCGGAACGACTACGTTCGCGTCTCCAGCCATGACCGCTGTAGTGGCACATGTGGTGTTCCAGGACCTCGGTAGTTCTGGAATTCTAGGCGTGCTGGCTGGCACGGGCGAAGACCTCTGGAAAGTGCTGAATGATTCCAGCTTTGGCTTGTCCAACGGAGAGTGCACTACGCCATTAACGCGCATGGGGGTAGCATCGGCTTCCGTGTAGGCGAACAAGATGTGAGCCTTCTGGTTAGCACCCAGACCCAGTGTCGTGACCGTGCTTCGTGAGTCGTCGTCCATGTACTTCAGCGAGTCAGGTGCGCTGACACCATGGCTCTTGATTTGGTGCTCCTGGCCAGCATAGAGGTCAGGTACGAGGGACGTAACTTGGTCTTCGGACGAGTAGAATTCCTTGTGGTTCGGTTTGGCACGAAGTTCGTCGGCTGTTGCCTGGAAATGCAGAACAGTGGTAGCATAAGCTTTTAAGCAACAGATTACATATTGAACACTTCCATAACTATCTACTTCTTAGGAAGTGAAAGAGCTTACTGCCCAATAATATTGCCTAAATAAACAAAATTATTTTGTTGAAGTGGTTCTCGAGTGGTATAATCTATCACATTGCTCAAAAGGAAAACAATCGTATTAGTATAGTTGTACTTTGAGTATTCCAAATACTTACAAGTTGTGTATAATCATTCTATAACACCCAGCTAACAAACAGCACTATTTGATCCACGGACTCCAAGTGCTAAGATTACCAGAATGCTTAGATAAGCATTGGCTAATGAGCTCACTTGGGCAGGATGTGCGTTTATAGCATTGGCGAAAAAATACTGGTCCAGTGTGTAGCATTCACAGAAGGTGAAGTTGTCATTGTAAGACTCAAAGATACATGGCTCAATCATTCGGTTATAAGCAAGTGGTGTGGGTCTCTAACGGCAATATTAACGGTCACATGCGTTTCTCTTTTGAAGCATATGCGCATTCAAACATCAAACCTTATACAATGTATTAGCCATTTATTTTGTTTTCTTTGTGAATTCCTAAGCAGAGAAGCAAAGGGCTTGGGATTGGAAGGAAGAAAACATGGAGAGAAAGGAAAGCCAAGAATGTTAACTAGTTTAGCATAACTGGTGGGCTAACCTGTGCAGCAGTTGGATGTTGAAGATGGTTGCATTCGTTAAGCGTAGCAGAGTAAATAGAATAAAGAAACTGTCCTAGAAGAATTTTTTTCCGAGTTTAATTCCACAGATGAAGTGTCAGTTCAGTAGATGCATTGAAGCAAGGTGCGCCCAGAATATAATCGCACATGTACATACATGCTTGTTGTGTTACCAAGGAATCAGTCTCAATAGGTGCCTTAGCCCCGCCCCGCCTGAACCATTATTGAAATGTGGAAACACGTACCTTGGAGGAGGCCTTTTCTTTCCTATTCAGAGTGCTTGTGTTCTTGTCAGCCCTCTGCAGGTTACAGTTCTTCAGCAAGCTGCCCACACTAGAAAAGCGCGATAGCCTCGTGGGGTCGTGAGCACTGACTGGACTACCGCTTCCGGTTCCCTTGTTCCACATGTTGCTGTTGAACACAACAGTACTCGTGCTGTCAGTGTTGTTGGACGTGACCCGCACCATCGACGAGTGGCTATTGCGCTTTGGATTAGAGTAGGCACTCCAGGAGGCGACCTGCGGTGCAGGCCCACGGTTCTTCTTGAACGTCCCCGTTGTGGCGAGCTGAGCCCAGGCTGCTCGGGCTTCCGGATACTGGAGCACCCTCACCACGAAGATGAGGAAACCCTGCATCGAGTTGCACACGCAGAAGACGTACTGGAACACGGTCCTGGCTTCGCCGACGGCGAAGACACCGAAGATCCACGTGACGCCGAGCAGGGTCATTACGGTGAAGGCACCGCGAACTTGGGCCGCGGTGATTGGTAGTGGGTTGGCGGTGCCGGAATTGGAAGATGAGGTCGAGTTGTGGTTGGAGGATTTGGAGGTGGCTCCCGACATTCGCGGCTTGAACAGCACCCGCGTCACCATGATGAAGACGAGCAGGTTGACGAAAAGGATGAAGCAGGAGATGCCGAGGAATGCGATGTAGTAAATGAGGGGATTTCTGGATGATATCACGCAGCTAGACAAAAAAGCAAAGAGAGAACAATGCGATAAAAATTTGCGATGGTGAGTAACATGAATTGCATTGAACTAAAGCTCATCTGGCCGAGAAGTAATGACATGATACAAACTTACATTATCATATCGCTAATTATATTTGTCATGTATCTTATGTGAATGACATATCTAATTAATCACGTGACATGTAGAGCTAGCACATCGAAAGAAAAGCATCAGCATTTCATTGCTTACTAGTCATCTTGGCTTCTGTAAGGCTCCAAATCTATGGCCATGCAGGTGCCAACGATGACTGCTGGAATACCTGTGAAAGAGGAAAGGAACCAGTGAAAAGAGTTAGGCAAGCCTTAGCTGAATGAACAGTAATAATGATCTCGATTATAAAACGAATGGGCTAGAGTGAAGTGCCGTAGGGTATTCTTGGCACGTGCAACTAGCGACAAATGATGTTTTTCTTTTTTCCAATCATTCCTAGTTAGGCACTTACTTTTGGCAGTTCGAATATCACAAAAATGCACCGTTCTATCAATAAAACTGCCACAAAGTCGTCGGACAACGCATTTATTATATACATACTATATCGTGCCTTACGAGAACTGAATGCGAGAAAAAATGACTATCAGTGTAATTACTGAAAATAATTATCACACGCTCTCTTTGTGAGCAGCTCGAATTGTTGCGGCATCTGGCGCAACAGATCCAAGCCACGAGGTTCTTTCTATGTGGCCCATCAGATCAGCTTCGGCAGTGCGACAAAACAGAAAAGTAACTGAAGGAATAATCTTTAGGACATAACCACTGAGGTGTGAGTGCTGCCCATCGGGCAGTTGTCTTCCTTTTGTTTATCCTAATCATCCAGGTCAAGAGATAGACAGCACTTTGCAGAGAGCAGGTAAACTCGAGAAACTCGGTAATTACCCCAGGCGACGAGAACGCGCTTGAGCATGAAGCACGTCTCCGAGGACGCGAAGACGTGCACGAGCATCTGGTACATGTTGGCCGCCTCGACACCCATCCAGGTGAGACAGGCTAGCAAGAAGTAGTGCGTGGCCACGGCCGTGCCCAGGCACAACTCGATCCTGGGAAATCGTTGGTGCAGGGATCCCACAAGAAAGGCCATGTTCAGCAGGAGCATGGCCGAGCACAGGTTGAGCAGGATCTTGCCCGAGCGGTCTTTGTTGAGGCACCTGTCATGGCAGACAAGGAACGCGAGCGTGCACGTCCGTCTTGATTTGGTACATCGAAATTTCTCTGTTATTCTCATTACATCTTGAGATCTATTCAGCGTCTCTTGTGTAAGCTGTTAAGAAAAAAGCGTTTGACGACTTCGAGTAGTATTTATACTCCACTACAGAGAACGGCGAACTCTCTCTGTCATAATTTTTAATAGATCAATACACTGCTACTTAGTTACCGTAGGAACTTAATTGTCGACTGTTTGCACAGGGTGATAAGGGAGTCCCACACTTGCTCGTTTCTGACAGCCACACAGCTTTCCCGTGTCTGTTGCAGCACTAAGATGAGAGACCTTGGTAATCTGGCATTTTATTTTCAGGAGCATGGCGATTAGGTGCATTTACCTCGACACCTGCAGCAGCCTTAAAAACATTCTGTCGTACACGATATTACGCTCACTAAATGAAGGCAAGCCGTCTCATTTAAAAACTTGAACCAGCGGCAATCACTGTTGAGCAATTTATTACCTTCTAAAATATCTTTTACTACAAACATTTTCGAGAACATGCTGAACAAAAACTTTTTCAAAACATTGCTGTACACGATCTAGTGTGCTTCCGAGAAAAAACGAGGGTATCAAAATAATTCTGAATTTCATAAAAATTATTGTTCACATTTTTAATTATTTCCAGATACCTTAAGTGACGTAATTTCAATGTTTTTGTTTCTCATGACGGCTGTGTTTAAAGTACAGGCAAGTACCCAGTGACTCCTGTGTGGTCACTTTCTGTAAAGAACTGTAAGCCTTCTTATAAGCGTGCCCCGCCGCGGTGGCCTAGTGGCTAAGGTACTTGGCTGCTGACCCGCAGATCGCGGGATTGAATCCCGGCTGCGGCGGCTGCATTTCCGATGGAGGCAGTAATGTTGTAGGCCCGTGTGCTCAGATTTGGGTGCACGTTAAGAAACCCCAGGTGGTCAAAACTTCCGGAGCCCTCCACTACGGCGTCTCATTATCATATGGTAGTTTTGGGACGTTAAACCCCACATATCATCATCATCATCATTGTGATAAGCGTGAACTGTTGCTTGTGCGTGAACCTTGTTGTTGGCCAATAGAGATTGTTTTCCTGAACAGAAATTTGTCGTTTGTGAATTTCGCTCTACTTTATGGTTATTTATAAATGCATAATGTAAAGTATTATGCCTTAAAAGTAGAGTAGACATAGCATTGCCTTGGGTACAACCTCTCTTTAGAGACACTGCATAACAAAACACATGAGTTATGTCTTCTTTGGAGTAATATCCCTGGAGACATTCTTTACTTTTGTTCTACGAATGTAACCACCACTAAGCATCACCTCAGGCCCGTAGCCAGAAAACAAAAAAAAAGGGGGGGGGGCTAATATTTGGATACAGCGGAAGTCTTTGTCTGGAATAAATGATGCAAAAATAAGTTCTTCAGGGCCTGCAAAAAGTGCCCCTCCCCCCCCCCCGCCTCGATAAAGATGCCTGGCTATGGCCCTGTATCAGCTAGAATTACGCAAATTTGTTACTAAGATGCGCACTCGTTTTAAGCGAATCATTTGGGATCTACTCACCTGAAGAGGGAGTAGGTGAGAATGGTGAAGAAAAGTCCGACAATCGACATGATACATCCAACGTAGGATATAAGTGAGAGAATGCGGTAGTGGTGGGGTGCCAGTGCCGTTCCGGGTAGTGGATCCTACATGAAAATAAGAAAGCGTAAATAATGATTGCAGGCATACACGCAAAGGCTTATTTTTTTTTTTTGTAATCCGATGCAGAGTACATTTCATGCCTTTCGATTCCCTAAATTCTTAGAAGTATGTTTCCACGTGCATTCAAGTAGCATTTTTTTTTCATGCCAGACATTAGTCATGAAATCTGGTATAACTGCTGTGAGTGCAAACAATGTGTAGCGTGAGCTACATGTGTCATTTTTGTAGCACTACAAATAGTAATGCCAACATTGAGCCTGTTTTAAACTGTTCTTAATAAGCAGTTGTTGCCCAGAACAAATCATAAGGGTAAGCAGCTTATTGTATAGAAATAGAGAAAAAATACATAATTCTTCTTGTTACTACTGCTCTGACAACATTTCTTTGGTAGATGCTTTTAAAAGAAGCTAACACCCACAACCGGTGCTGTACAGGCGTTTATTCATGCATAAAAAGGTGTAACTATATCAGAACAATGATAAGAAAAACAGGTATTTTATTCACAGCTAAATAACTCGACAAATTAAATACTAGAACAAGTCATTGAGATTCACCATATAGCACGTCTTAATCGATGAGCATTAATTTATGATGTAACGTAGTAAAGCACTCAACATACATGGAAGCTTCACTTTCGCAAAACTCTTGAACCCTGTTAGCGCTTTCTCACTTATTAGTGCGCTCAGAGTACACATTTTCAATAACTGCAGTTTCCTCCTGAACCCTTCCATTCGAATAGGGTCATGCGATGGTCATAGCGTAGATACATAAAAAATTGTTAGCTTTTTCATGCCGCAGCATAACTAAAGACGAAGGATGGGCTAAACTTCGGTAGCTGTTTACCGGGCTCATTATCGAAAAACGTTTTGTGGGAAGTAATTTCTCCCGTTATTATGTTATTCTATATCGTTAAAACAGCGTAAACAAGAATGATCACCTAACAAGCAGCAACTGTAGACACATAAATCACTGCTATATAATGCATGCATTGTCACACACGTTCACAATTGAAACATTACCAGTGTGACGTAATGATTCATTTAAGGCGATGCCACGGCGTGTAACAAAAGACTGAACAACGTCCGTATCCACGATATCACGTACCAGAAGTAAGGAGAACGCAGTCATGTGAGTCGATGTGCAAACGGTGACGTTTCCCGACAGATTGGTTGTTACGCCAACTGTAGACCACTGTTTACCTGAGAAACAAAGCATGACTTGAGAAGATTGGAAGCAACGCCTGAGGCTAGCTACAAATTTTTTTTCCCTGAAATAAGGGACGCTTTCAAAACATTCAGAACAACACCCGAGGGCAAAATTGTTCCACTGAAAGAGAGAAATAAAAGGGGGAGGGGGGGAGAGACATAAATTAGATGCGAAAAAACAAGCCGGGTAACCAAAAAGTAAATATTCAGTTCGCGACCCTACAATAAGCAAGTGCAGAGCACAGAAAGAAAAGACTGAAAGAAAACATTAACAAGGCAGTGGTGAAAAACACACGCACGCCAAATCGTCTTCCTCCCGTATGCCTGGCAGATTAAATTTTGGTGCCATCAAGACTACCTCCACACAAATGTTATTACACGAAATCAGAATTCCGCTTAGCTTACCACCAGCTTGTATTGGTTAACACCACTTTAATCTCTATTTCAACCACTACCGCGACGTTATTTAAAGGGACGTAAATTATTTTATTGTTATTTGTTCTTTACTTTCTTACAATCAGTCGGCAAGTGTTTCATTTTACTTCCTTCCGAGTGCGCTGCGCTAGGTCAGTTTAGCTTACGACTAGTTTTTATTTTTGTGGCTTTTTGTCTCATAAACGTGCTTACGTACGCACGCTTGCACATACATGGGGGCACACACACAAGCCCACTGCAAGCCATTTTAAACCTTTAAGGGTGTATTTACGATAAACCACCTATTTTTGGCCAGAATAATTCGAAGGAGTTAATTTTACGTGAACTAATCCTTTGTACCCCCAATTCAGATTTTGGGGTGTTCTAGAGCTTTATGCTCACAAATAAGACCCAAGGGTGTTTCTTCGAATGTTACACTTATTATAAATATATATATTTTTAGAGCATCAATACATGCCATGTCTCAACGAATGCAATCAAGCTGAATGGCGAACTTTTGGTGAAATGATTGATCTTTCTGCATTTTTTTTCATTTCTCGGTTCATTCGCCAATATATATGGCGCTATATACTACGTTTCATATACCACCCCCTATATACATTTATTCGCAAGATCCCTCGCATGTTCAATGACTTGATTCGTAGGATGACTGTGTGATTCTTGCCGAAAATATTTTGCGTTCACTCGTGTCCATTCGTCATTAATTCTCACTGAAACAAGAGTAAACGCGATTATGTAGCACTTAAACATAATGCCCACACAGGTGCATACGTACACGCCAACACATCAAACACACACTAGGAATTCTTTATCCTAAATAATCATGCAGCGCTTGGTCGCTTTCTAACATGAAGATTATACACTTCGCCCCTCCACGATAGATTGCTGTGAAAGCGTAACCGCTTGCATCACATAGACTCGTCTCTCGAGTTTCGCTATCAATCGAGATTGTTGAGAAGGAGGCACTTCTTTTTAAGGCTGAATGTGGGCTTTCGGAGAGTGATTCACTAATGCATTTGCTTGCTGCGTTGTTGTGGCTGACAGTGCCGCCTGCGGCGACTTCTGAGGTGTAGAAAACCATCGAACTGCTTTCCTCGTTGTCCTCACTACAGTCCACAAATACTGTCTTACGACATTATTCAAAACGAGCGTGTTATAAATGGTAAGTGGTTATATATCAGTGATATAGGGAGAGTGAAGTCTGGTTGCTCTCAATGCGCATTCGAAGGTGCTACTGAGCTGTTTTTTTAGTAAATAGAATGTTATGTTATGACAGCAGATAACCAACATTAGGCCACGTTTGTCCTTATTAAGTGAGCACTAATTAGCAAAGCCACACACTAACAGTCAGAGAACACCGATTCACATTAGACATTGTTTTTCACCAATCAGCCGATGTAACTTGAAGTTTACACTAGGTGATATTACCCAATATTCAGCGTGAATCAGCCAATAATACCCGATACTCGTCTATACTAATAAATGCTGAAAGGAGGCGGGTAAATACAGTATGATAGGGTCGTAATTTGTCATTTATTGCTGGCTAATTGCCAGGTAGTATATTGTGTAACTTTCTTTAGTTTAAACTATGAAATTTGATAAAGTGTAAGAATTAACGTGAGTTTTCTTGAGTTTAATGCCCATAATAAGAACAAACAGAAAGCAGCTTGGTACTCACGGTGTTCATCCCAGAAAGCGCACACGTATCTTCCAGCGCTGTAAGTAGGGTACGAGTAGATTAAAGGATCAGTGAGGTTTTCGATCTTGTGGTCTCCGATCTTGGCTGATAGCACCACTTGTCCTGTGAGCGTGAGGACAAAAACTATTAAATTTCGGGGTGTAGCATCCCGACACTATATCATAATATGAAAAATGCCATAGAGGAGAGCTCTGGATATAAATACCACTCGGTTTTTTTTTTTAATGTGCACCAAGTACACGTGCCCTAAGCATTTCCGTCTCCTTCGAAAATGCAGCTGCCATGGTCGAGACTTTATCCTGTGACCTTTGGGTCAGCAGTCCATCGCTATAATCACGTTACAGACTATAGAGGTTGTCACCATCCCATTGAACTTTTTTCGATGGGTTGGTGACAACCCATCGAGGCGAGGGACGCCGTAAATTGTTGTTCTACTTGGTTGTTCATGTTCGCGATTCTCCGAGAACCTAGTAATATACAGATAAAGAGGAAAGCTCTTCAAGCAAAAAAAATTTTTGCCAGAATATTATTAAGGCGTTTCCATGATGCTACATGTGAATGAAGAGGATTCAGCGGTATACAATTTTATTGTCAAACACTGGAAGAGTATCGGGCTCCAACCACTCACCTGTGCTAACCAGGGAGGCGAGACCGTAACGATGTGGCCGGAAGAACTTGTCGTTCCTGTAGGACACGAAAGATATGCGTGGCCCTTTCTCCACTTCGTGAATGGGGCGATAGGCTTCGCCAGCGGCCATGAGAGAGCTGTTGATGGCCATCGACAACGCCTCGAACGGGATAGTGATCACAATATTCTGGGCAGAAGTAGTGGTAGTACAACATGCATCATAACTCTGCGGATGTATGAGCCCTTTATAATCAAGCTTGTCCTCGAACTTTCATGCAAATCAGGATTTTTTAATGGGCCAAATCTACATCAAAAACTCGTTCGAATAAGTTTGCAACGGCACATACTATCAACTTTCCTGTATAACAGTAGTAATCAATTAGTCGTAATTGATGCCATTTAATATTACCGATTTTGAAGAAAGGTGAGAATAGGTGCCGATAGAGGCTAATTTGAGCTTATTTTGGTTCTAGATTCGGCCCATTTTAAACAGAGCTCTTGAAATGGCTCTGTCATATCCTAAAATGAGTAAATTGACGCAAGCTGTTTGAAATGCATGTTGAATCACTCAATATGCACTATAGCTACTTATCCCGACTTGTTTTGCTAGCGACCACTGAAAAAATGGGACGAACTTCACGCAAAAGAAGAGAAAGATGCCATCGATAGGTCCGTATTCACAAACCAACCTCGGCTTTACCTCAAGTTTTCCTCAACTTCCTGTTCTCTCTACATGCGTTATAAAGGTGCGAAGATAGTAACTGGGTGAAAGATAAGGACAAGACTGGTTTATGAGTACTGGTCTGATTTTATTATCATGCACAACAAAAATTTAACCGATAAGGAAAACTCAAAAAGAAGGTTGAGGTCGGTTTGAAAATTCGGGCCTTAGCATAGCGCGTACGATTTTATTTAAGTAATAAAAAGGCAGCAGTACAGGAAACAGAATCTTGCGATGAAAAATACAAAAACAGGGTGTGCGTACTGAAGCCAAAGTTTCGACAAGCGGGTAAAGACGATAGCCTTTCTTGGAAACTTGTCTGTCTTTCTGTCTGTCTGTACATTTGTCTGTTTGTCTGCCGTAACGATATCTCAAACGGCACCTTACAATTGCTAAACGCCCAACCCCATCCAAGACGCTGCTGGGATGCCGATGAGTGCAGACGCGTGCACATCGAGCTCCGTATGTTCTTGTCTTTTCTGTACGGTTCAACCCTTAAATCGTCCAGAAATTGCCACAGGCGTGTAGGGGAGATGCTCCGGTATCGGTGGACTACAGTTTCACTGAAATCGGACCATTTTTCTTGTTTTTACGGCCACTTCTTCGTTCGCCCATGTGGAGCCTTCGCTACCTCTAGCGTCCAGTAGAGGAGCGGCGGCGACGACGCCGGGAGACGCTCGCCCGAAGACGACAACCACGGCGTTGCCGCGGTTGCTGACGGCTATGGACTCGACTGGGGAGTCGCAAACAGCGTCCGTACGACAATCCGAACCAGGTTTGGGTGAAGAAGTCATGGACTTTGCCGCGCAAAACCGGGATGAAGCAGCACTGCCTGGGAACTGCAATGCGGCGTCCACGCACGCCGCCGCAGATTTTTCCGCCCCAACGGAGACCGACCGCACAGAGGAGGGATGGCAAATATCCCAATCGCTCAGAGCGAAGAAGAAACAGGCGAAGGAGCGGAAATTTCAACAAGGAGGGGACTTCTCCGCAGGCAGCAGACCTACGACGGACAACCAGCCAAAGCGCCGGGGTCGACCTACAAGACGGAGGCCCCCAGCACTACCCAAGGACGATCTGAAAGTAGTCTTCCGACCTCACCAGGGACTGCCTCTGAAGAATGTGACCACCCAAGCGATCTCCGACGCTATAGTGGAGGCTTGCCAAGGAAAAGTCAGGTGGGATCAGTTTATTCTCCGCATCCGACCGGGGTCCAACATTGCGCTAGCGTCGACTCCAGACACGACCGTCGCGATGGCGATGAGAGGCGTCACGTCTTTGAATATCAACGGAAGACCACACCCGGTCAACGTCTACGTTACGGCAGGTGAAGGAACCAAAAAAGGTGTTATTCACGGTATAGAGCCGCACACCCCGTCTGAGACCATCAAAGCGAGCATCCGTTTTCGCACCCAGAGCGTGACGCTGGTCGATGCTCGGATGTTGGGAGACTCCCAGAGTGCCGTCTTGACTTTCTTCGGGGACATTCTACCAAGATATGTTTACTACAGAGGAGGTGAGAAGGAGTGTATTCCTTTTCGTAACACCGTCCAATTCTGCCGAGCGTGTGGGGCGGTTGGCCACCGCACCGACGTGTGTCCGCAGCCAGACTCACCCGTGTGCCATACCTGTGGAATGCGCAACCCCGAAGTAAACCATAATTGCACTCCGACATGCGCAATTTGCACGGGAAACCATATCACTGGAGACCGCAGTTGTCTGAAACGCCTCAAGCCTATTCGCAAGCAAGCAGCGAAACCACCCAAAAAACCACACAAGCCAGCCCCTCGCTAGTTTCAGTCGGAGGAAGAGGAATCAGAATGGGAGTACGGACGAGGCGGGACCCGAAAGAGCCGTTCCAGAACCCGCACGCCGTCGAAAAACCGTGCCTTGGAGACAGGACAACCAGGACAGCGGCATCCAAAGTCGACTTCGACGCCGAGAGCAATCTCCCAGGACAATCCGAACGCGCAAGCCCTTCCGAGAAGCAAGCCACCGGGGGCGTGTCCTGCACATAGCAACCCACAGGCGGACGCGGTAAGCTATGCGCAAGCCATATCTCCCACTACCAAACATAAACCCGTTACACCAACGATCACAGAACACCCAGAATACAAGCGGGTAGTAGCTGAAAACAGACAACTTAGAACAGAACTACAGGAGGTTAAGTCTCGAATGGCGCGCCTGGAGTCACTACTAAACCAGTCGAGCAACACACAAAGCCCGGCGAGCACACCTGTTGTCTCGCAGCCCGTTGCGCAGCCCGTGGAAACGCAACCACCACAAACACCGCCGATAGCGTTCCTAGTTCAACAAATTCAACTTGTTTTTGCCAAACTAGGCCAGATGGAACGCACCATAAGCGACTTGAGTCAGGCGCAGAATCCTCGCAAGAGATCTTGTCAGAGCCCGGGTGCCCCCACCAGACAACCTAAAGAAAGTGGAATAACAGATTCCGAGAATACCAATCATGGCTAGACACCGTAACAATAAAAAGACCGAGCAAACGGAAATATGGCAGTGGAACTGCTGCTCATTGAGAACAAAACTTGAAAATTTCAAACAATTCATTGGAGCATCTCCAATCCCTCCTGATATAATCTGCCTTCAGGAAGTAGGCAAATTTCAGATAAATCTGAGAGGGTACATAAGACATGTTAACCCAAAGTACCCACAAGTGGCGACATTTACCAAAAAAGATATCGCATTGAGTGTCAGCTACGTGAGTAATGAGGCAGTGCAACACCAGATAATAACAGTGTGGCCCAAAAAACGTGGAGGACCAAAAACAGTGGGGGTCAATATATATAGCCCACCTAAGGAGAGACGAGCCGACTTTGAGAACATTATAGCACATGCGATGGGTTTATTGAAAGAGAAAGACAGGTTAGTTATCATGGGGGATTTTAATGCGCCACACAGAAATTGGGGATATAAGCAGGACAGCCCTAAGGGCAAACTCCTTGTAGACCTTGTTGAACGGTATGATCTCTGCCAACTTACACAACCAGACCTACCGACACGGGTCGGGAATAGCTTAACGAAAGACACGTCACCGGACTTAACGTTTACAAATTCTGAAGGAAACGTCTCATGGGCGCACCTCGGAGAAAACTTGGGAAGCGACCACTACATTCTCGGAATAACTATTAATGCCGCCACAACAAGAAGAATGGGGAAAGCGACAATATCTGATTGGAACAAATTTAGGGAGAACGTAGGAGACCAAGGGGAAATAATAGATCTAGGTAACTGGGTGACACAGATAAAGGAGGCACACAGGAAAGTGACAAAGGAAATAGAAACAAGCGTGGAAATCCCAGCAGTCGACAAGCACCTGCTACATTTGTGGGACGCGCGGAGAAGCCTCACAAAGCGATGGCGGAAGCAAAAGCTTAATCGCAAATTGAAGATAAGGATAGCTCAGTTGTCACAGGAAGCGAATGACTACGTACGTCAACTAAATAACAGTAACTGGAGGCAATTTAGTAACTCACTTAGAGGGACGTTAGGAACCAAAAAGACCTGGCACATCCTGAGGAGTATGCTCGATCCAGGGGCAACAAAAACAATGACGAACAGGGCTTTAAGAATTCTGGAGAATGAATTTAAAGGTAATGATGACGCACTTATCTACGAAGTCAAGAAATTATATGTCGTACAAGACGCATGTGAAGTGGTACATGGCAAATATGCAGGAAAAGAACAACCAGAGTTAGACGCTCCCATAACATTTGAAGAGGTTTATGCGGCGGCCCAGTCTTTCAAAAAGAATACCGCCCCAGGGCGAGACAAAATAACAAACTCTATGCTTAGAAATTTGAGTGATGCGGCCCTTCGACGAATCACGGATTTCTTTAATGAAAAGGTATGGGTAGATGGAGGAAACCTTCCAGTAGAATGGAAGGACTCAAACATCATGTTAATACCAAAACCAGGGAAACCAAGAGATATTAAGAACCTCCGACCAATCTCCCTTACCTCATGCTTGGGTAAGCTTTTTGAAAAAACAATATTGACTAGATTGACAGACTATGTAGAGAGAGAGGGTCTGCTACCGGTGAATATGTTCGGTTTCCGACCACATGTATCGGCCCAGGATGTTTTCCTGCTGTTGCAAAATGACGTCATGAACCCAAACAGAGGTTCAAGCGACGAATTCGTACTAGCACTAGATATCAAGAAAGCATTCGATACAATATCACACAAGGTGATAATGGAAGGCCTCGAATCGATTAACTGCGGCCAACGAATATATGAGTATGTCCAGTCATTTCTGACAAGCAGGAAAGCTACCATTTCTTTAGGCTCGGTTACATCTGAAACCTTCGATTACCCAAATAGAGGCACCCCCCAGGGAGCCATGCTATCCCCGATACTATTTAATATCGGCCTGAGAAAGCTCGCATGTGAGCTGGAAAATATAAAAGGTCTAGGAGCAGCTCTTTACGCAGACGATGTCACCTTATGGACAAAGGGTGGCTCTTATGCGGACAAAGAAAACGCCCTCCAGGAGGCAGTAGATAAAATACAAGCTTTCGTGACAGCTGCAGGAATGCAATGCTCGCCGGAAAAAACTGAAATGGTTAGAATTAGGGCAAGATACGCAAAGAAAAAGGACTTAATACCGGTAGCAGTACTGCTGGATGGGAGACAAATCAGAGGGCAGATGTAATACGCGTGCTTGGCATGTGGATACAAGGAAATTCGGGAACGTCACACACACTACAAAGGCTACGGGGAACCACGGCGAATGTGGCCCGGATGATCAGGCGGATAGCAAAGAGCGAAATGGGACTAGAGGAGAAAGAAACCATTGCACTCGTTCATGCATTTGTGATCAGCCGAGTTACGTACGCGCTACCGTACCAGACAATGACAAACCATGAGACAAAGCAAATAAACACAATAATAAGGAAAGCATTCAAAGCAGCATTGGGGATTCCGGAAAATGCCAAAACCGAGAGGGTAGAGAAATTGGGCATATACAATACCTTTGAGGAGTATGCGAATGCGGTGCTTTATCTCAAAAGGAAAGGCTCAATTCAAGCTATCATGGGAGAAGAATTCTGGAAAAGATGGGATATACATTGCGACCATTATATTGTGACGAGGAAACGGTGCTAATAGATGCGGAAAAACGCACACATTTAACTGTAGCGCCTATTCCCAGAAATATGCATCCGACGTATCACGCAGGAAGGAGGAAAGCGAGAGCAGACTCCTTACGCAAAGCATTTCAGAATAGCTCAGAAGCCGTCTTTACAGACGTAAGTAAAGCGAGCAGAGGGTCACATGTAGTGGCAATTGTAGCACAAAATCACACCACAATGGCGTCGGTTAAAACTTGTTTCACACGAGTGGCAGAGGCGGCAGCAATAGCCATAGCCATATCCAACGCAGAAATCAGGGGAGAATCAGTGGTTGTGCTCTCCGATTCACAGGCGGCATGCCGAATGTTTCTCCGAGGAACGCTACCTAAAATAGCGTATAAATTTTTAAATAAACCCATAACAGGAGACCATCACATTATATGGTGTCCTGCTCACGAAGGTTTGGAGGGGAACGTCGTGGCAGACCGTATAGCTCGAGGCATCACCAACCGAGCGACGGCAGGCCACGACGTTGAACCTCTTTCCAATTCGCGTGACATCCTCCTCCAACAAAGGAAGCAACGAAAGGAATATGGGCTTCCACATAAGGACTTGGATAGCCAGCAAAGCAGGGATTGGAGACGCATACAAACCAATAGCTTTCCCAATTTGTACCATCTAAGTAGAATATATCCCGCAAGATATAAAGACACCTGTCCGTGGTGTTCACAAGTACCAACACTCAGCCACATAACATGGGAGTGCACCCAGAGGCCCACACACATCGACAGCCCACACATCACGAAGCAACCACACATGTTTCACAGGCAGTGGGAGGCATGGCTTGCGGACGAGGACAAGCAGAGCCAAATAGCTTTGCTTGACCAGGTCCAGCGAGCCGCTCGTGCCAGCGGAGCCCTGGACTAAGGGCCCGACCAAACTGCCTGCATTTCAATTTTTTTTATTTTTTTCTCTCTGAATAAAGTTTCTTCCTCCTCCTCCAACCCCATCCACAGCGCCCACCAATATTGCTCAAGTTTAAGCGTTCATACTTGTGCGATTGTCATTCAAAAAGCAAATATTGCGCATATCTGAGGCACCATAACAACACCTCGATATTTGTGTGTGTCTTTATACAAGACAAGGCACACGAAAGTAATTCTAAGGACCGTAGCGTTTATCACGCTGCGCTGACAGTGCAACGCGATGCTCAAAAGGCAAGCGTTTCCAATGCTTTGCTAGGACGACACGGGAGTGACACGTGCTTGTCGCTTTGCGTTCTACACTTCATCGCCCCCGAGACAAGCGCTCATCTTTCTCCATGAGTGCGCACGCCGTTCTCCCTTTTCGAAGATAACTGCCATATGGTGCTCGTGTCTAACGTGCCACAATACGCTCGTTCACCTTCGCTGCACGGATTGAGACTAGGAATTCAATTCCCCGATTTTCTCGCACAGAACATCAAACAAAAGTTTTGTTCACTCTCTCCCCATGCAAGACTATCGTCTTTCGACATTTGCAGTGAAACATGCGGCTAGGAGTGCAAGTTTTTTTGTTTTTTTTAGGCTTCCACGTCGCAGTTTTAACCTTAAATGAGACAACTCCACTTGCCGAAACATCGAATGCAGTGCACACTCCCTAGTTGGAGCCTTTAAAAGACACGTAGGCTTGTTGAAACGTAATCTTCAGCCCACACACTCTGTTTACGAGTTTTTCATCATAAGGTAAGACGTATCAAATATAATGTAGGCCTTCTTAGTGGGCCATGGCAGAATATGAAGTTGAGGTTAATTAGTAATACATTACATACCAGAGGCACGAATGCACTATTTCTTTACCTCCTAGATATTAGTTTTTTTTCCTAAATGTTATGGTATAGTTTAGAGCAGTCCTACGAGTACATGGTTGCCTACTGTTACCGGTACTGCCTGCTGTTAAGTGCACAATTTCGGAAATCAAGAAATGCTATCAGTATATTAAAGTTGATGCTCATCTGCAATTAACAAATGCCTGTGGCGAGTTACATAATGTGTTGTACAGAAATTTCAGACAGCTAACTTTTAAGCTTGTGGAACTGCACTTTAGACAAGCAAGGCAAGGTAGTAAAGAAGTGGTATGCAGTGCCTTAACAAGTGTATTGTCATGACTCACCCGAAGCTCAATTTGTTGAAGATGTAGTATACTACCATAACGTGTATTGCATTTTAGTACATCATCCTGTACATTTGAATTCTCACTTTGTAAAACATTTAGTTTGTTTTGTTTACTTGTGCATTTGCCGAGACTGACCTCTTTCGTACCATCATTCAAAGGCATTGTGTTAACTATTTTTCGGCATACATTTTTGTATATTTACAAGTTGCAGTATACTAAATTTATGAACCGACTATCCTAACAACAAGACATGTTAGTTTTCCATTTTTTTAACGGATGTATTGCAATGTCGTTTTGTATGCGTGAACTGTCACGAACTGCTCAACAACGGGGAATTTGTCGGTGTTGTTTTCATTTAGCACTCGCTGCAAACTATTTCACTTGCTGTAAGTGAGGTACCTACTTACTTGCCGTTCTATTTAAAACTATAAATATAGAACCCAGTACGTACTACGTTGCGTGAAAATACAGAAGCAATATATCTATATGATCGTCGTATTGGTGTTGACCATAGGTCGGCAAAGTAAAGGGAACTTACTCAGACTGACTCAATAATTATATATTTCGCCTTAGATTCATGCAGACTGAGGCACATCAAAATATTCCCGAGCCGGACTCGCTCTCACTTAAGAAAAGTTTGTCCAACGGCACTCATCTGGACTCTAAATCACTAAAATATCACTCACTCGCACGCACTCTAACTCACGGCTTGATCTGAGGCTGAGTGAATGCGAGTGAGTCGATTAGTTCACCAACCTATGGTGCTCACACTTACTTCTTCGCTATCCTGGTCGTCTCCATCTCCGGAGAAGTCCTCGTGCAGGTAGCGGTCTCCGTTGGAACGCAGCGAAAAGCTTAGGAAGTCCTGGCCCTGAGACAGGAGCTTGGGCGACCAGGCTACCGCCTTGACCACCAGGTTCTCGTTCTCGATGATGAGAGCTCCGGGTCCCAGCACCACTTCCGAGGTGAACCTCTCCACAACCGAAACCAGCCTGCGTGTCACCGGTCATCGCAGCGTCGACCTGTTACCGATCGCTGTACGCTATAGCCTTCAACTGAACGTTACCGAAGCATTCGAGCCGGCTGTGCACCTTTCGGACGTGCCGTGTCACTTGTCCATAGCTTTCTATTTAGTTATTCATTCATTCATTGATTCATTCGTTTATATATTTATTTTACCTTACGCGCACAGAGTACATTTAAGGATAAAAATAAATTTACAATAAAGAAATGAAACAAAAATCCCATTTCCTAGAATTGTAAACTAAGAATCGAGACACAAACATTCTTAACGCTGAGGGGGGAGGGAGATGAACAACAAGAGAGAAGCCAGGGAGGTTAACCAGGCACATGCCCGGTTTGCTTCTCGGCCTTTTGGCTAAGATCAAAGTGTAGCGCTGTAGATCAAAGTGATTAACGCTGAAAGTTTATTTAAAGTAACGCGATAAAACAAAGTCGTTACCAGTGATATACTTAGCCGTTGAAGACTACGAAGGAAACTCGATCTAATCATTGAACGAAACACAAAAGGGGTAATTAGGTAAGCAGCGTTTTATCGGCCATGTTAACCCTTTATTACCTGAGTTATGAAACACCTGAGCAAAATAAAGATTGTTTTAATTTTCCCGCTTTAGGTAGCAAGCTTTAATTGATTCGCAGTTAAATTATCTGAAATTGAACTTTAATACATACTTTTGCGTTTGTCGCAAATTCTACATATGCCGCAGAAGCAAGGACCTTGCAACAAAAAAAATATATACACGTGCTTCAGAACTGCGTAACAAGTTGTGTGCCACCTGTTGAGTGCACACGAATCAAATAAACAAAATTCTATAAGATAGAAATTACGTCACCAAGGCGAGAAAAAAACGAAAACGTGAGAGTTGTTGCTCGCGCTTCGCGCACTCCTTCATGAGCTCCGAAACAATTGATTCGCTCCCGCAATGCCTTGCCAGCATAAGTGAAGCCAGCTTTTGTCAATGCCAGGACGGCGGAAACATGCTCTTTTCTGGTAGTGCCCACTTAAAGATCAAGTGGCTTTGATATGTTAATGTAAATGCTACGTTAGTTCTATATTAAAAGATAGTTGTTCGCGACGAAGAACACACCGAAACGAGTATGGCTTACTGAATCGCTAAAGTAAACTTTGCCTCTAATGAGAGGCTTACTAAGAAAAATTAGTAACACTAAGACGCACTTGCAGCACTATGTGGCCGGAAAAAGTTGCCACTTTGAAATTGTTCTACATGCGAAGGAAACCCTCCGTAAAGGGCACATCGTGATATTGTGATATTTTGTATCGTGATATCACATTCAATTTTTGTGTACATGTATGCCACATAATCATGTATATTAGAGCAAATGTCTTCACTGTAATGTAGTGATGTTAGTCGTGAAATATAGATGTGCCGAAGTGTATGTGCCCAGTTACTGGAATGGTATGAAGCTTTGTGTTCTGTACATGCTGTAAATAAACTTTTTCTAAACAAAGGGCACATCCAACTGCCATACCAAGGGAAACAGCATACGCTCAAGGGACGGCTTTCAGCTCTCCCATAGTAGAGTACCTCGTAGCTCTAAATCGTGAACCACTTTTTCTAAACACATGCTCTCCTATAGTTGAGTACGAAGTACTCGTAATCGTTAATCATTTTTTTTACTAAACACAAAAAGGGTCGGTTCTATCTTGTCAGGGCCGAGATCTGTTTCTATCCAGCAGCCGTGGTAGAACTTTTCGCGGGACGGCTCAGTGCTTTCCCATAGTTGAGTACGAAGTACTCGAAATCGTTAAACATTTTTTCTAAACACTCTTAATCGCGCTGAAGTGTGATACTTCATCATGCCCTAGTAAGATGGCCGTAACCGCCGCCATCTTGCGATAAGAATGGCTTCACTCCTGAACAATTATTTCCACTCTAGCAATTGTTTCTATTCCTGAATGGTTCTAGCTTAAAATATCTTGGACGAGACTGCGCTAGAGTTTTAGAGCTGAAAGCTACATCCTCCGCGCTAAGTCGGCATGAATTCCGCGAAATTTTACGGGGTAATACTAAATCGCACAGAAAATGTGATAAATTTCCGGAAAAAATTCCGAAGCATGTACTAAGCGGCACCAGTTTAGCCGCAGTGAAATTGGGTGATTCTTTCTTCTATGCTACGTGTAACGTTATGAGAGTCCTTCACTATAGCGCTTTTATTCTACCTGAAATCAGAAGCGAATTTTCTTACTCTACAACAACAGCAAACAAAAAAACAAGCCTACTGCTTCGGTGTTAGTGAGTGTTAATTGAAGTGACCGGAAGTAGTTTGGGATGCACCCCATACTACTGCTATTGCAGTCTTACAAGTGCGAGAAAAGGCGAGTTCGGAATGAATCGTGAACATTTTATGTCACCTATAAGCTTCCGCGATTTCTAAAACAAGTTTTCTTTAAAAAAAGTTGATCTACAATATGTACAGAAAACAAAGGTTTCATAATAGTTCAGTATTTAGGGCACATACACTTTGGCACATTTGTGTGCCAAAGTGTATGTGCCAAAGTGTATGTCTTCACTGCAACTTAGTGAAGTTGCAGTGAAGACATCATTGCTCTATTATACATGACAATGTTGGCATACATGTACACAAGAACTCAATGCGATATCATGATTAGACAAAGGTCTAACGTTACAATAGATTCAATTCAACATGATTGGTAACAAAATAAATATTTCATAACGTCTCAACGGGCGCTGCTTCACCACGTCGGTCGGAAAATGAGTTTTACGCTTTCGTGTTCAACATTCACGAAAGGGCACGACCAATGCCGCCGAAACTCGTGCTCCCCGAAAAAGAAAAGCTCCTAAGAGAGGAACTCGATCTCTCGTCTCATTCTCCCCAGTATCAGCCAGAAAGCATGCCGACGGCAGTTAGCAGCTACGGCCTCACATCGGTTTCTCCAAAGGCTGAACAGCCCCACAACTATCAAAAGAGCGGAGAAGCGGCCACGCGGAAATCGGCCGTTGGACGCGAAAGTTCGCACATCCTGTTCCCGAAAACCAGCATGAACCGCACGCAAAAAAGGCGGGAGACCACACATTCAATTGTCGCATGTCGGTTGGTCTCTACCATGACGCAGTTGGGGCAAGTGGAAGTGCGAACCACCTGCCACCGCTTCAACCGATCTCGAGTGGAGAGCAAGCCTCAGCATAACCACCAAAGTCCTGGAGATGCACTGGCAACACTGCTGCAGCTATTGGTTTTCAAGGGCGGTTCATTATAGATTGACGATGCTGGAGCACCAAGGGCCGTAGAAGGACGGCCATGGTGTCCAACACTTTAGATTCGGACCAACTCTTTTTCTGGACATGTAGCCTCCCAACGTCGGTGAAACGCCAGAAGGGCTGGATACAAAGATGGTATTGCAGTTAAATGGAGACCTTGGTTAATTTGGCTAGCTGACAGGAAGGCGCGTAGTGATGGCCCCAGATGGTAGCAAGCCAGTGTCTGAGCGGGCGTGCCGTCATTGCGTTGTACTCACAGTAAATTGCGGAGGCAGAAAGTAAAAGCCGACGGAAACGTCGGGGAATCCAAAACCACCTTGATCTCTTGGTTGAGCCAACGCTGGACGAGACAATTCTGTGCCACCAGACAAAAAAAAAATGAACTGGTGCAGTATTGCACCTTCCTGGATACGTGGAGCGGCGGTTTGACAGAATGGCAAAGGTACCAAAATTTTCCCAGGTACACCGTTTTAGATAAGTATCGGCGTTTCAATAGGGCAAAGTTGCAGTCACCGGCTGCTCTTATTTCACTTTGAAGAGTTTGTACAACGGGTGACCAGATGCTGTCCTGTACACCAAATGCAGTAAAAGTAACTATGAGTATTGCTATGTTAGGAGACCACTGTAAAAGCGATGTGGTGCTGATGCGACCGCTTGGGTTGCCAATAAAAAATACTGGCTTTAGAAAAGTTTAACCTTGCACCGGAGACAATGCCGAAATTATGGAAAGTATCAAGAGCATGCCGCATCGAGTGTTCATTATGTACATATAAAGTAATGTTATTTGCATGTGCAGTGATCTTTACTTGAGTGTTAGCAAGTAGGGGTAAGCCTCGAATCTGCAGTTGACGTTCAACGGCCCTTAAGAAGGGTTCTAATGCAAGGATGAATAGCACTGACGAGAGGGGACACCCTTGACGGACTCCACGCGTGACATCGCGTGACATTAAATTGACGACTCTCACAGAAGTCTAGGTAAAGGGTACTTTCTGAATCAGTGTACATCGCGTGGATGAGGTCAATGAACTTATCCGGGAATACAGGTGCATGTTAAACATTAAGTAGCCATGTTCTCTGAAATAAAAAGCTTTCTTCTGATCTAAGGAAACTAACAGTCCTTGCGCACATCGGCTAGTGGTGTACTCAATGATGTCACGTGTTAACCACGTATGGTTGTGTATTTCGCGCCCCGCTACAGAACAGACCTGGTGGGGAGCGATTAATGCTGCAAGAGATGAACTGATTCGGTGCACCAAGATGTTGGCCAACAGCTTGTAATCTCCACTAAGCAGGGTAATAGGACTCCATCTTTCGGTCGTGTAGACATTTGGTAGTTTTTTGGAACTAGAGTTATACGGACTCTGTGGAATGAGGTTGGAAGGGTAATATCTCGGAAACACTTGCGAATGACTGGTGAAATAAATGGACTAATGATGGGCCAGAACTGCACATAAAACTCTGCAGGGAGTCTGTCAGGCTCCAGGGGCCGAACCCTTTTTCATTGCGTCCGATGCACCCTTTATTTCGTCAAAGGATGGCGGTAATGGCAGAGCGTCATGTGACAAGTTGGAATCATGTGGTAAGTCGTTTAGCAGTGAACGCGAATAAACGGATCCTGGGTAACTTACACTAGAATCAGATAGAGCCATTGTCTGAAAGTGTTGAGTGAACGCCTGAAGGTCACGTGTACCCGCAATAGCTGGCGCGGTAGAGTTCAGCGAGTGGGCAGGCGAGCCTGGTGGACGAAGCAGAGCTCTGCGTGCATACCTTAGCACAACAAGGTGTGCACACGGTGCACGTCTACAGCGCCAAGCTGCAGCCGAGAGCGAAGAAGCGCGCATAGTACGTTGGTACCATTCGACGAGCTCCTTATGTCATGCCCGCGTAAAGGGGTAAGGACTGGGATCACGGTGGGCAATGCCTATTTTTCGAATTAACAATGAAGTATCTTTGGACAAACGGGTGTGAATTGTCCTGCCCGACGCACTGCAATGGTAACGCCACTGTTCTTTGAGGCGATCCCAATCACCTATATCAGCGCCAATGAGCGATGCGCGTAACACTCTGGGCAATTTTTCCCTAGACTGAGAGTCCTGGAGGATGCGGCAATCGAGACGTCTTTGAATCGCTGGCGTTCCCGCTGGCAGGCGGAGAGAGAACATAACTGGGCGGTGGTCGCTAAGGTACACTGGTGTCGGTGGCAATGACGTTACCCCAGTGTCATGAACGTATGCAGTGAGACCGGGATATGCGCACACGGGATCAATTCTGCTGCTCAACGCTGCTCGCCCGCAAGTATAGGTATAATTGCTACCATGTACACTTGCATGTATGTCACTCAATGCCAGTCGTTGCACTAGACGCTCAAGTTTTGTGGCGGCCCCGCCGTGGTGGTCTAGTGGCTAAGGTGCTCGGCTTCGGACCTGCAGGTCGCGGGATCGAATCCCGGCTGCGGCTGGCTGCATTTCCGATGGAGGCGGAAAAGTTGTAGGCCCGTGTGCAAAGGTTTGGGTGCACGTTAAAGAACCCGAGGTGGTCGAAATTTCCGGTGCCCTCCACTACGGCGTCTCTCAAGTTCATATGGCAGTTTTGGGACGTTAAACCTAAGTTTTGTGGCGCTCCAGTTTGGCCGGCCACGTCCCGGACCTTGAACGTCTGCACTGCGAGTCTAGGACGCAATAAAGTTCCATAAGAGTACCCCATGTTATGAGTTTAAAAGGAATGCATCAAGAGAGCGATAAAATGCGCTAGAATTCGCCGACGCCGCTGGGGCGTATACACCGAGAAATGTTATACGCAACGCAAAGAAGGCGCAGTCGAACGCCAGCACGCGTCCGGAGGCATTGCAAGAAACATGATGGTCACGCAAAAGACTTCAGGTTAAATATAATAACTCTGACGCCAGTCGGACGCGTGCTGGCGTACGAATAGAAACAATCAATGCCGAACGCGCGTTTGAAAGGGAGTACGTCATAGACTTAAAAAGATTAGTTTGTTTAGAAATCATTGTTAATGATTTTGAGTACCAGGTACTCTATCTACTATGGGAGAGCATAAAGCCGTCTGTGTGTTTAGAAAACGTGGTTAACGATTCAAAGTACTAGGTACTCTACTATGGGAGAGCATAGAGCCGTCCCGAATGCATAATTGCAATAAAGCCGTCTCGTGTTTAGAGAAAATGCAGACGAACAGTACATCACTTCTACGAAGCACATGCATTGAAGAAACGCCGAATATCTATCTCGCGGGTCAATTTCATTGGGTGCGCTGACCACAGGGCCGATTATGAGGCAAATTACTAGGCGATGACGAAAAATGTTTTATGGTTATATACATTTTTAAAATGCTTGTCGCCAAAAGCAAGTTTATTTTATTTGCAGTCAATTCTAAGAGAAATACGGGATGAGCTGGCGTCGGCCTAGTCAGTGTGTTGCACGCATTAAGTGCAGCTAAGTGTTCTCATTACGCAATACAGCGAAATGAAAACGCCTAACAGCTCCAGCGCTACACCTTTCGCTAGTCATATAATGGTTATGAAGCGTTTTTACCATTACCACTTACTGTTAAACAGTGACCTAACCTACTGTTGATAGGCAGTGCGCATCGAAATACAATAAGAGAAACACAGAACGACCGCAAAGAGCCTGAAAATTGCGCAGCGCAAAAGGGCAGATTGATGAGGTACTTGAAATTGTGGGAGTTATTGTCGGGTACTTTAGTTCCTCTCTTATTGTCAGGAAGCATGGCAGTTTTCCTACTTCTCTCAACATAGCTAAAGTCCTTCCGATCTTTAAAAAGGGCGACAAGCAATCTATTTTTAACTATCGCCCCATCCGTATTCTATCTTCCCTGAGCAAAGTCATCGAAAAACTGTTAATAACTCGGCTAAACAAGTACCTTAAAAATTTAATATACTGAAGCCCTGTCAATTTGGCTTTGGCGCTGGAAGCTCTACTAACCTTGCTATTCTTTCCCTATCAGACTTCATCAAACACTCCATAGACGCAGGATTTGTAGTAGGGTCAGTTTTCTTAGACTTCACAAAGGCATTCGATATCATTAATCATCTCATTTTAGCCAAGAAACTCGAATCATACGGTATTACAGGTCCATCCCTCAAATTTTTAAACAGTTACCTCCTTAACAGAAAGCATACTGTTTACATATCGGGCTCATTTTCTTCTACTAAAACAATAAATCAAGGGGTTCCTCAAGGGTCATTACTGGGTCCGTTACTTTCTTCACTTTACATTAATAACCTCCCTGACTTTATACACATGGCTCACTGCGTTTTATATGCTGATGATACTACCATTTCCATTGCTGATAGATGTATTGACAACTTCACTAATAAATTAAATGCTGTACTTTGTAGCGTGTCAAAATGGTGCCAGGAAAATTTCGCAATTATTAATCCAAATATATCTAAGTTTATGGTTTTTAGATCAGCTCAACGCAAGTTAACTTCCTCACCACAGCTCACAGTTGACTCTCATTTGATTAATATCAGTGACAGTGTATCTTTTCTTGGCATTCACCTCGACGCTAACCTTACCTTCGCTCTCCATATTGCTCACATTAGAAAAACGGCAGCATTCAGCATTCACGCATTACTCAAAGCTCGCTCATATTTTTTCTCATAAAGCACTTCTTTCACTTTACTTCGCATTCATTCATTATCATAGCACTTATGGCATCGCATCATGGGGGAATACTTACCAGTGTCATCTTTCATCCATACAACACCTACAAAATTGAGCTATTCGCGCTATTTTTAACTGTTCTCGCGACAGTAGCGCCACTCCCCTTCTTCAATGCAATAAAATCTTAACTGTTAGCTATCTATTCAGGTTTAATCTAATTATGTTTCTGCATAAACAAATAAGAAATCAACTTTCTGCTAATTTCATTGATCCTAAGATGTTAGTTAATACTAACACAACCAGGTTTGCGTCTAATAATAACTTTTTACTTCCTAAGGTTCGTATTAACTACGGTAAACCATCTTCTTTCTTCTGTACCATCACCTTATGGAATAATTTGCCCACTTCGCTAAAATTCAATGTTTCTTTATTTTCATTTAAAAACTCATTAAAAGAGTACCTGTTAAATAGTTGATCTATCTTCTTTGTGTTTTTTATGCTGTACTATTTGTTTTTTGATTCCATGCTTTTTTTTCATTCTGCTTTATATATTTTTGTTTCTACAATTCTAAAAGCTGCTTGTGCTTTTATTATTTGTAATCATCATCGAGGGTCCCGTTGCAGACTTGTACTTTGGGACCCTCGTCTGTATATTTACTCCCTGTAACATCCTTTTATGACATAATAAACTGATTGATTGATCTAAAAAAAGATGGGGGTCTTGGCGTCGGTGAGAGCAGCAATCGGCAATTTTGAGTTGAAAATCTATTTGGCCGAACTTTGGGTCGGGAAATGTAAACTCAAAGCCAAGCAATACGTGCGATACACTGACATCAGCGATTAGAGTGACGGCCGTCGATAATTATATCCGCAGCTTGGGCCCTCAGCATATAAACATGCTGCATCAAACATTCTACCATTATCACTTTTGAATAAACTGAGTTGTTCATATTTACGTGCTCAAATTTATCAGGTGATCCTAAAATAATCTGGAATGCTTCCACACATTCTGGTGTGCAAGACAGACATGTACACGTGCAACAGGTCGCCGACATAAAAATAAAGAAGAGTGTGGGGCACTATTGACCTTGTCACTCGCACAGTGGTAACTATCAACCAATATTAATTATCTATGGTGAGAGAGTCCGGCAATGGCACTTGCAAAATTGAGTGAAACCGACCAGTGGTAGCGTGTCAATCCTCCCGATTTCGCTCTTTCCTGGTACTCGGATTTCAGTGCGAATACGCCATTGGAGTTTAGAAGTAATCGACTCCAACATTGACTCGTTTCCTGAGCTAGGTCTAAGACATTTTGTGGTCATTATAATAAAGCGACATTTTTATATCAGCATGAAAGAACCGTCACACGCACTAGAAGCTGAGCGTTATGTCGCCCGATGTGAGAACTGTAAAGGCGGCACTTGTATGCAAAACATTGATGAGCAGTGCATGGTACTGCGACAATGAGGACGCATCCCAGGATGCAATTATTCTGTGCCGCTGGACTTTAATAGACTGTTTTCAAAATTAAAAGGCTGGATTTCCTGCTGTGCACTATGCACAGCAGGAAACTAATCGCGGCTAGTCACTTACTGCGAAGAGCATGTTCAAGCATAAATTGCTTACACTGTGACGTGGAAATGCGTCGAGTCGGCATCTCTGGACATAGGCTCGCTTAGTAGACAAGCACCAGAACGTTTAAATAGGACTTCGTCCATGCTTGATGCACGTCAGGTGGTTCCATTACTTGCTGCAAAAATACAGCGTGGAAAAGCCCACTGGCGATTGATGAAAAGGGTTCATTGTCATCGTTCGTTACACTACTCGTCAACGTTTCCAGCGTTGAACCAACTAGCCCGAATCAAAACTTCTTTCAGACGCATGAAGCCCACGTGAGCAATACAAAGCAATCGCTTACTTCTCCACAGCCGCTCCGTTGGCGTCTCCTTCTTCGATGACGCTGTCATTCAGAGCGAGGAAGTTGCTTATCACGTGAATCATGGCTTGTGCGATCTGAAAATCAATGGCAAAAAAAGTTGAACCACTTCGCTCTAAAACGGTTGACCGGCTAAGCTACACAGAGGTGAAAAAAAATTTCGAACCATAGCCAGCAACACTTTCTAGCCATAGCCAAGAACACGCCCTGCAATTAATCCGAAATGTCTGTCGAAGAAGCCTACTCTCAATTCATGGCCTTTTAACGCTTTCTCTTTGAGTACCATGCTTCGCTCCGAAATTCATTCATGCATTCAATCATTCAGCTCCTTATTTAAGACAAAAGTGTGTTGGATACCAAGGCAAAACGCAGATGTGCTCTACCTGACGGGACCCTAGCACAAGAATTCACACTCGGCGCATGAACAGACACATATATCATTATTCATTTTATTATACTGTCAGCCCTATTTGGGCTATAGCAGGTGTTAAAAAACAAACATGCTTACACAAATATTAAGCCCTCGCTATACAAACATATATTAGTCATGGCACTTTACGAGAAATATTTATAGCACATTACTTTAGAGCACATAAAGAAATATACAAAATTATATAGTGTTAATGCATACAAACGCAGTTTCATACAATGTCAAAAAAATGCGTAGGCAGACGAGATGACCTGCGTCGTCTTGTCAGCCTTGCCGCAAGCGCTGAGCGTTCTGTGTACGGTCTTAATTTCTATTCACCGCCTGTGAATTCCCTCCTTCGCGTTTAGTGCAAAAGTGCTCAGTTGCTGGGTGTGCCCTACTTATGCGAGACATGCTCTTCATTTTCCCGTGTACAAAGGTTATGCCCTAGCCGTTTCACCGACTTGCGCGTATTACAACTTCCCTGCACCTACTAACGTAAGTTTGTGAAGGTGGGTAAAATTTTCTGAACGACATAAGATTTCCAAGACGTCCGAGCATTACATCTCTTAAGGCGAAAGCCTTAGACGCCTTTTCATACGATAAACCACCGGCGTTTCCACGAGTGACGCATAAAGAATCGTATCTTAACGTGACGTAAAATGATCATCAAGCGACGACTTGACATCGTCGCTTCATGAAAAAAAAAGTCAAAGCTTTGCCGCAAAGGCCGAGCAATGAATACAATAGCAACAATTTGGAAGGTCACGCACAGCATGGCTAGTTGATCAAAAGATGCCCCGTGTTTCTCACGCACAAATGGCGCATGAAATGTGCTCACAGGTAGAGAGGAAAACGAATAAGCATCCCTATTGTTATTTTGCTGTGCCTGAAAAGCGCGCCCTTTTCACAAACGGAGGCTGCGCAACGATTGCAATGACCTTTGTGCACCCCATAACTACAACAGAATCCTTCCAGTGCACCAACTCCAGCCAAGACGTACGATCCTCCCACCGGGAGATAAAGGCGCACGAGAGATCGTCCACTTCCCTCCTCTCGGCGGGCCAAAGTACGCGTGAGAGATGATAGTCACCACGCGCCCATTGCGACATCTTGCTGATAATGCTGGAAACACGATAGTTCTCCCCCGAGACGCCCGCCAACAGCGGTAAGTGGTAGATATAAATAGCTGCCGTTTGAACGTTGAAGGAGGTACCCCTCGGTGACTCACTGATTAACGCCTCGCATTATCGGCGCGGAGGTCCTACGTTCAATTCCGCGCACTGAAATCTTTTTATGAATTTTTTTTGTTCTTGAATTTTCGTATGTGTAGATGCATATACATATGCGGTGCATGACATCGACGCCAGTGGCGAAATCCTGCCGAGAGTGTCCATTTAATTGCTATCGCAATAAAAAAAAACAAGCCGTACGCATCTTCTCACGGGTAGGACTCGGGTAATTGCCTAGCAGAATGGGGGTGGGAGGGTAATCGCGTGAATGTTGCGTATTGAGGATGATTTGGGAAGGCTTAATTGTTATTTCGTCTTTATTGTACTTACTGAACGGAGGAGAAGCGTTGCCTTCAGCGAGTGGTGGGCCGCTGATGTTGGGCTGTGCACTACTACTCGTTGAAGGTACTGTTGCTTTAATTGCATCTACTGGTCAAGCAAAGCGCCAAGACTCGCGAAAGTCAAGTAAATACGCCCTTGCCTGAATTCCGAACGCGCACTCCACCGCTTATATACACGCCACACCACCCGCATCCGAGGGAGAGGAGCACGTGAGAGAAGTCCGCACCCCCACTGGGCATGCTCTGCTTGCTGAATGCCCGGTGGTGTCTTATCCTTTGATTCTGCAGCGACAGTGTTGCGGCTGTGTTACTGGGCCAGCACGAGTCTAAAGCATGCGGCACGAGATGCTAGACGCGAGCAAGTGGAATGAGACGCGAGATATGACCATGCGCAGGGGTGGTGTGGAAGGCGCCGATGCCGAAGCATGACAGCATGAGACTAAAAAATGCTCCGCATTCAAAAAATCACAGCATATCCAAGGAGTGCATGATGATGAGTGGGGTGAAGCATCCGTAAGTCCATCCGCGCTTCCATACGTCGTTCGATCTTGTTTCCGTCCGCCCGTGCGTGCGTCTGTCTGTCTGTCCGACCGTCCATCTGTGCGTTCATGCAGCCGTCCGTGCCTCCGTTCATCCGTCCACGCATCTGTCTGTCTCTCCGTCCATGCATCTGTCCATCCGTCCATCCATTAACTGAACAGTTCAAGCACCGCCATCTCACATCTTTTCATCATATTAGAGTGCTTAGAATGTACGTAAGTATATTCTAGGAACTATATTCATACATTCACCATATAGAAGTACCGTCATCCAGCGTACATACCAAGGACTAAACGAGAGGTGGCATGGCCGGATTATAGAAGAACGGCACGCGCGCACTTTCCCACGGCCTACGCGTGGTGTCTAGTTCCCACCTTTCACCGCCTCTAATACATGGCACTACGGCCCAACCCTCGCCAAACCTTGCTGCTACCAAGGAGCTTACGCCCAGCGAGTTTAACGTGGCAACCGACTCTGGTCAGATAGTGCTCAAAGTGCGTGCTTCTGATACTATAGTTTTGTTCAGTAACCATCAAATACAGGGCAAATTTTAATGGCGATTAAATAACCGATACTCGCCTCTGTAGGTTATGTCATCCGAAACAACTATCTTTTTATTTATGAAGAACGTGCGCGTGTTTCCTCCTCACTTCAAATGAGTGTGCGCGTGCCGCTCCTCTAGTCCGTCCGTGGAGGTTACCTACTACTACGATGCACTACTACTACATACATTGCGGACGCACGACCCACGGCGTAAGGAGCTTCGCCCCTAAAAGGTTGCGATGTCTGCGACCTAGGAAGCATTGTAAAACCAGGTTAGATACACAAAGCTTTCGTCGGAGGGCGGCGGAGGAGCAACACAGACTAAAAAGGTAAAGTTGATTGCTGTTGATAGACTAATGTGTAAAAAAAACATGTAATACTTTTTATGCAGATGCTAGCAAGTTTTTTTTGCCATCACCAGACAAGAAGGGCGCGATCATGTTTCTCGCCCATTTGGGCGAAAGAGCGTCGCCGATTCCCTCTTTCGCCCTCTTTGTGCGGTGTGGCTGTGCAAATAGCGTGTCTACTGGCCATGACGGCATTGCGGACGTTTATTTTTAATTCCGCGGACTAGGGCCAGAATGATTTCGAGTGATTCATACTCTACGGACGAGAAGAAAGCCGTGCCAGTCATGAACAACTACAAGCGCAGACGGTATATTCCGGGTACATGAATGGCTCCCGCAACATAATCAAGCTATGCCACATCAACTCTCACTCGTGATATGTCTGCCGTACATAGCAAACAAGAGTTGATGTGGCAAAACAGTGGGCCAAAGTGTTAGAATGCTATTTTCTTGCAGATCAACTTCAGGCTGTCCAGGAGGCCCGCGAGGCAGCGGAGAACTTCCCCGATGTGGCGGATGCCCTCTGCAGCTGACACCTAGCCGAGTGTGTATAGAAAAAGTAGTTAACGATTTAGAGTACTTGGTAGTCTACTATAGAAGAACATAAAGCCGTCCTGGCGGCCTCACACGTGTTGAGGCAGGCCGAGTTGACAAAAATTATAGCGTGAACTAGTTCATGATGTTGACCAGATGTAACTGCCCGGAGCAAGCTCCTGCGTTTTACTTTTGAGGAGGGGTCGTGGCTTCAGGAGCTCTTTCAAAGATGATAGTGTTTCTTGGGGTACTTCAAGGCGAAAATTTTGGTCAGCCTGTTTGTATGTACATTTGTCTTTTTGTCCACTGTAACGATGCCTCAAATGGAACAGTTTTTTTATATAGTAGCAAGCATCTTGAGAGTGTTGAAGATGTTATTTAAAACAGTAAATAGTAAAGTTAAATAACTAACTTTTTAATAATGAAGTTACGCAGTTGAGTCAAAAGGGAGAATTGAAGTACTTTATGCGAAAGACGATTGCCGCTTTGAGGTTTCGGAAAAGCGGTCTGCGGTGAAACCGAAAGCAAACCACGAAAGAGCGCAGTTGAAATGAATGAGCGTTGTTATGTCAACCATCAGCCGACTTGGTTGTGTGGGTGCGTGGGCTGTGCTAGCAATGACAGCACCCATGACGCACGTACTTTATTTAACAGTGACGTCATTGCAGTAGTGAGGTTGTAGCGCTCTTCAGTCCATTGGTTTCGGTTTCGTCGCAGAAATAAGCTAGTCTACCCTCACTGAACCCTCACTTTGATGTCCTTGATGGCGTAGTCAACGATGGGCTCGATCTTGTCGGCAAAGTTTCGAAGCTCTTCAGGCCGGATGCTTCGCGGGTCGTGCGTCAGGTACTCCAACTCGGAGGTGATGTTCTCTGCCGCCTGGAAGCTCTGCAAGATGTACGAGCAATGCGTACTTATAAAAAAAAAACGATGTGTAAACTCAAGGGCTTGTTATTGTTGAGAACGAACAAACATTGTTGCCAAGGGAAGTATAGTGGACATTACCGAATGTAAATGTAAAGAAAGAAAACCGGACTTGAGGATAACTCACCGCCCTTAGGGAGCAAACCTGCGACCTTTGAATAACGCGTCCGATTCTCTACAGCGAAGATACGGTGGCGGTCATTCATCTGTCATCTTTATAGGTTATATGAGTACATTCAAATGACGGAGCGTCTTTGCTGCCAATAGTCAGCGGGACAAGTGCGGAACACTTTTTTTTTGCCTGTAGGCGTCACCGTGGCACGTGGCCGTTTTACGAGCTGGCAGCTTACCCTGCCAACAGCAAGTTATCTTTTCATCCGCTTTTATTTCTTCACATTAGGGAGCTTTAGAATAGCGCACCGCGAGCCCTTGCGGTGCGGTCGCTGCCACTGCGCATGTGTCGTAACGCGAGCCGGCGTTCACGTTCGCGGACTGCACGCAAAAAATCCAAAATTGCGTGCGGTAATGGCGGCCCGCATGTGGCCCACAAGCTCTGGTTTCGAGGCTACGGTGTCGCTGCGATCATGCGTTGCGGATCGCAGCAGGGCAAACGCTATTCTAAAACTCTAGGGCGCCCACTACGCCCGCAGCGCTTGCAAACGGTATTCTAAAGCTCCCTATTGGCATCACAATTACTTCGCGTAACGCCCGCTATATTTTTCTTGGCATCACTGTCTGTTAGTTCACATAACCATCGAGTCACTCTTGTATTTGTAGGATTCGCGTTCGCCAACATTCTGCGCATGCAGTTATCCTACAATATTTACTAGAGAGAACTGTGGCGTTGCCATTGTTCAGATGTCGTGGTAATTTTTTGCGCATAGAGATGGCTAGTAATCATGCTTAAGGCCTCGAGTGCACACCTGGACTTGTTTATTTTTCAGTCTCGGCTCTCTATTTTTCTTAAACAGAGTTGCTCATTGGGAACATAGTGAGTTGAATAAAACTGGTCAATTTACAAAGGTCAAGGCACTAAAGTTGAACTACTGAACATTAGCCAAAGTTCGTGAACTTCGCTTTGCGACAGTGCGATTAAAGCTCACAAGAAGCCGCCACTCTTAGAAACGAGGCCTAGGGGGATTCATTGACTGGCCGTAATTCTATTGCTGGCTGATGTGCCATGCGTTGCAGATCTCATAGGGCACTAGAGCCGAATTTCCTTCTATTGTATTACCATGAAACGCTGTCGTTCTCAGAAGGTTTGTGCAAAAACGTAAGGATGAAAGATCTTTCTTGCCTTGTACCGGCAGTGCTGCGCCGACACCTTCATCCAGCTGGTCTGACCGTCGGCCAAGAGGCGGCACTTCCGTTTCGCGTACTTGTACTCGCTGGCCGGATTGTAGGCACCATACGGACATTCTACTTTGGCCACTGAACCATGTGGAACGGGTTGCCAATGGAAAGCACCCTTGTCTGTCTGCTGCATCTCTTCTGGGCAAGTGTCTGTGACATGAGTGTACAGAACGTTTGCTGTAGTCTACAGCTGAATTTAAGAAAAAAAAGCGAAAGGTAAATATTGTACACGAAAGTCAAAATGCCAAAGTATTAAGTTGATCAGCTTGCTCTCTGGATATTTCACAGTGCTCAAGATCATAAGGGTCAGTCTGGAGTCAATTTGGCCTAGCAGTGCTTTTGTGTGTGCAAGGTGGTGAGACAGTTGCGAAACAAATCAGCACGAAAGATGGGACAAAAGACACAGTACAACAAGACAAGTGCTGAACTACGAATCGAGGTTTATTTGATAAAGGTTTGTTGGTGACATGTTGCGATATGTTGGTGACATGTGATACTATAAAAAGGCGCCATCATCAAGTAAACTTCTGGTGGTAGTTCAGCACTTATCCTGTTGTAATGCGTGTTTTGTCACATCTTTCGTACCGTAGCCAATGTTACAAGGCACATACCTTGAAATGGTTACTTTCGGCAGCTGTTCCACTGTACCTGATAAAGAATCAGACCCGTCCAACGATTCAAGCGTCTCTTTGCCCACCTTTTCTTTATCGGCCCATCAGCGAGCATGGAAACTGATATCACGACGTGATCTTTAACTCACAATACGGTCTTTGACGAAGATAATTGGGCCTTTATTGATGCTCCAGAATTGTCACTTCATCTTTTTGCGTATTTTGAGAGCCATGTCGTTTTAGTTGTCTGTTGCAGGATGAACTATATAACGTCGAACGAAAAAGAACTTCGTCTCTACGCTAAACTCGGGTGAATGACCAACGGTCATATTTGTACCTGAACCTGGTATTTATTATACCCAGTTCTTGATAAGCTCATTTCAGAAGTGGCAGCTGGTGAAGGTTCCAGGGGTGAAAATGAGCCGTGAATGTAACTAGACTAGCTCTTCCCTCAAAAATCGCAAATTTCAGTATCAAATGTATTTCACAAAGACCACTGGAGACGCTTATTTAATTGGACACAATTCCTATAATTTTTTAGAAAGAGTGTAGATCATCGAAAAAGCCATCCTCCTAGGAAGATGAGGCAAAATACCTGTATCTTCCATTTACTTTGCATCAAAATATTGTAATCTTTCCCCAACGTGTCTGCAAAAAACGCGGCCGATTAGTTGTGTAGCATCCCATTTTTATCGAGCACAGAATATTGTTCAAGAAAGTCATGTTTCAGAGACTAAGTACTTGTACGACAATACGCTATATTGTAAGCGATTGTTTCGACGATACACGTCAGCTAAAACCTAAGTGAAGTTCAATAGTTTTCGTTGCTCTTCCTGAAGCTGTTTTTGTTTTCTGTGAATTGCGGCTTTAGGCAGATTGGTCTGTCACGTGTCTACCTCGAAGTGATGAGAAACATTTCCGGTCATAAACACTTAACTATCCTTTTTTGCGTTGCTTAATCGAATTTGGCAGTACAAAATGCTTGTGAAGGCGTATGTCTGACGAAGCAGTCGGTCGACCTTTCCCATTCGTGCACGGGAAGAGACATTACGCCGTTTAGGACTAGGTCACGCAACGCTTACGTTAGCGCTTGTCACCACTGCGCATGCGCCGTACGCTATCTTTTTGGGTATAGCCACTTTAAATGACAAAAATAGCGTATCGCACTGAAAGAACGCTTTCTCTGCATACCCTGCTGCTAGATTCCGTATCACCGGCTCCCTATAAGCGGCTGCGCTAATACGTTAACTCAATTTGAAGTTCCATTTACTCCGACTTGCGAGTAACAACAACAACCAAGACGCATTTTGTCACGGCCCGCTGGCATTAGGATCGGGCGTATTTACCTCGGAGCTCGCAAAGTGAACCACCGTATCCCGGTGCGCAATGGCAGGTGAAGCTGTTGATGCCATCTTCGCAGTCTCCGTGGTTTTTGCACGGGCTCGACAGGCACTCGTTAATGTTCTCTTCGCAAAGCTCACCTGTAAACAGAAATGCAAAAATACTGGATGCGCTCACTGAAGCTGCACCATAATATAAAATGATATCAGCTTTTTAGGCGTTAAAGATCACAATCAGGAGAAAGTCAACGAGATAGAGCGCCTACGAACGCCTATATGCATCAACTGAGATATAGAGAGCACCTTTAAATATTAACGTACAGAAAGTCGTCTAACAAAAAGTTCTCATAAACACAGTGTACAAATGTCGGTGTTGTACTGCCCCGGAATCCGCCCGATTTTGATCAATCGACTGAGTCTTCTGATGAGATAACTGCTTGACGTTGAAACATTGTCACGTGTCTTTTAGAATGATTCGTGTTCACGCGACACCTGATTATATGGTTTGTTTTTACTGAGCAGACATATTAGACTTTTTCCTCAATACTCAAACATTCCACAATTTAGTGAGTACACATATCAGACTTTTGATCTAACATCAAATGTTATCTCGGGCTTTACTTAGCACTACCGCTATGCTTTCATCTTCCAAAAAAGCCCGTTTTTCTTTATTTCTGAAAGATTCCTCAACATCAGTTGGAATACTAGAAGTCCGAAGTCCTGGCAAACATCCCTGACACGGTTCTGAAAGAATTGTGGGCCATCATTTTCGTGGTAAACATGCCAGCCTGCAGTATTTTGAAAGAAGAAACAATGCCAAAGAGGGTGAAAAAAGGCTGTATTGTTTGATTGCAAATCTCATCTTCAGACAGAGTACCAAATCTCAATGAAAGCAAATAATGCGCCCTTTATTTAATTAATTTCCAGCGACCGGCGAAAGCTTGAAACACTCTGCGCAGTACTTTAAATTTGAAGAATTGTTTCCTCCCTTTATCTTCCGTTCATCTGGACAACGGCAAAATTACTGCTAAGAACCACGAAAAACAGCGGTTTGCCTGAGAATAAGTGTTACAGGAGCGCAAACAGTGCCCTAAAATGACTGTCCGCAGCTCTTTAGATCCGAATCTGAGATTGTAAAATGCAATATCTGAGACTTGTATCATGAAGTGACCCACTTCATCAGGGCACGCCTTCAAGAAGCCTTGTAACACTTTTTCCAATGACTATCAAATAGATTCATTATTACTGCCTTGTGAATCGACCACCAGCATGTTTTAGAATCGCTCAAGTACGAGTAGAGTTAGAGATTAGGGCACCGCTATAATTGCTTTCTGTCTGCTCTCGTTCCGATGAGAACGCCGAAAGCTAAGAAAGAAGGAATGGCACAGCAAAGTGAAGATACATCACGAACATGTCCTGACGTTGAGCAGGATGGTTAACTTTCAGAGTGATCGTGAGTAAATTTGCAGGCACATGGCGGCTTCACGCGGTGGTCGCGTTAACTATGAAGCTCACGATGCTCTAACTAGCCAATGACCTAAAACTATGGCATATTGCATCGTCATTTGTGAAATGAAAGGGAACGGTTTATAGCACGCTTTTGAAAAATAATCGGGCATTCCAGGCCATATGATGATTCATAGTGTTTGACTCGCGTTTTCTCAGGAGCGTCGACTATCTGGCAACAGCGCTTTCTGACCATACTGAAAAAAAAAAAGTGTTGCAGGGCCGCTTTAACGTAACCCAACACATCTTTTCAATCTCATTCTTGTTCTCAAGCCACAACCCTGCATAACAGAGCGAGAAAAAAAAGAAATACTAATTCTCAGGAAACAACAGGTGTGCGGGGAAATAGGGCTTTCGGGCGGATGCAAGCACTCGAGTATACGGCTGCCACAAGTGCCATCACGCATAACGACGCTGACGGATGTGGCGCTAAAAGCGCTCCCCTAACCAGGAAATGAGTGCACGGACTTCGCTAGATCCGGGTTGTGTGCTTCCACACTCATCACTTGTGTGCAGTGATGGGAAGACACTAACATTAAGCGTAGCGCTGAAGCTCTCCTCAGAACGTGAGTTACTTGGAGGATTTGTCTATAGGTGACGTATCGGTTTGTTACATGTCTTTTTTTTTGCCAAATTATGAAGACAGAACGGGGTTGGGCAAATTCGTGAAGCTGTCCCTTTTCATCTGCGTAACTCGCTATTGGCTTGCATCCTTAGCTAATTGTACGTTCCACAGCTTAACATATTGTGTACCTCAACATATTAATTTAGAAAAATATTCACAACATCAATATTTATAAGAATAAAAAAAAATCCGCAAAATTCTAGCCCTTAGTTATGAGAATCCTTTGTTTTACTCAGCTAGACAAATTTATCTGCTTAACTTTAAATCAGTCTTTAGTTAGACTAAGCCCGCGTGAAGATAGTGTTGCTTAATTTAGGCTTCTTGTGACTTCTACGTGTTTTTTAAAGTTTTTTTCAGTTCCCTTCATGAATAAATTGTGATGATTAGTTTTTCATTTCTTTTTTACTTTCAGTTAGAGCGCTCACTTTTTTGCATTGCGTGTGCTACTACAGAAACCACTAGTGCAAAACAAAAATCTTAACAAGATCAACTCTCTCTACTTAGAATAAAAATAAGAAAATAGGTTAACTCTTCCAGACGTCTTAGTCAAATATAAAAATAGACCGCGCTATTTTTTCTCCGGCAATATATCAGTCAATCTGGGCACCTATAGGTATCGTTAGCGGGGGAGACCACTCAATGCCTGGCTCAGTTACGAAAGAAATATATGTGAATCTAGCACCTGTCCATGCCTACAATTTTGTTCACATTCTTTTCGCCTTCATTACCACCATTTCCAAGAGCCGTACCTTACAATGTACTGCACGGAACTGAACACAAGCACGCCTGTATGACGCATGGCAGGGGCTCAAGGGTTTACTGCACTTGTTTATGGCTACGGAGCTGGACGACCACTAAAACACTTACGCCTTTGCACTTTCTCGCTAAGCGCGAAAAGCCTGCATGCTGGCCCGTCGGGCGTTCATATCCGTCGCGCAAGTGGAACAGTGAAAATCGCGCCCACCCACGCACTCGCCCACGCACGCCCTACACAGGCACCACGCACACCATGTTGAGCGTTTCGATGCTACCGTACAGTACATGCAACTCGCATCAGCGCCACACCACTTTCCTAAACAAGTTCGTCGCTCAACGAAGCCGGTAACACAGACCATTCCCCAAACCACATCACACATGGCACGAACAAACGGCGCTGGTCAAGATGGCAATGATGACTTAATGCCCCTTGTTTTAATTGTTCAGTAGTCTTTCTGATCTGCTTACAAACTACAGCGTTCTTTGTCGTAGTACGGGCATTCAGGCAGCTGTGGTGGACGTCACAACCATCATCTGCTATTTGAGGAGGTTATAGAGCACTTACGCTCTAAATGTGGTTCGCATAATCTACATTGCTTATTGTGGAATTATTCATAGTAAAATTATCTTCATAACTCCTTACCAATGAAAACAGTTAATGGAAGCTTCCGACTACGGACTTGTAAGATATACTTGTAAGTGATTCACGCGCACGTTGTAAATCACGTTTTTGTGTACAAGTGTTGCAACGTTATGGGAAATAAGCGAATATTTACCGAACACAGGCATAATGTCGCTGACCTACTCATCAGCTTCCAACGCTAAGCCATAGTCCTCAGTAGGCTGACCTTACAATATACTGGCTGTACCATAGTCAACATCTGCATTCATCAGCGAGTGCCTAGTATTACCAGCATATAGCTCACGAGAACTGTGGTATAAGTACCGTGCGCTAACCAATTGCGCCACTGGGGAATACTATTACCAGCATATAAGCGAACATTCTAGGCGAAACACATGTCACCTCCCACTGCTATTTTAATACCGATGAGGAATGAATAAGCTATGACAGGTGCTCACCTACTGTACAAGTACTTTTGCGGTAAACTTGCTGTCTAGGAAGAGAGCGAGTTGTATGACCCCTGTTGCCATCTTGCCAGTTAAAGATGCCAAATAGAAATATTAGGGCGGCACGAATTGCTGAAAGGGCGTTACAAAAACTTCGGAGTGCTTGTTGCGTACCAATGAAATGCTTAAATTGAAACAAAATTATGTTTTCTTTGTCCGCATTACGCAAATATAAACGGCCGCTTCCAAGAACAGCTTTCTGACGTGGCGTTTATCATGCCCTGACTGCCCGACAGCCGGCACTGCTGAGAATGAGTTAAGGCACATTAGCGGGGCGCAGGTTGAAGAAAACGCAGCTTGAGCTGTTCTCGACGGCTACGTGAACTCGTTTCTCCTTTTTTGCATGAATAAGGTAAATGCAAGCGAATAACTTTATTTCGTCTCGGATAGTTTGAGCAGTCCGGATTAATCGAACCCCTGACCTCCATTAAAAAAGCTGGACGACGCATCCCTGCTCTTTAATAGTGGGTGCTTGTGAAGCCATCGGAAGGTCCGCTTCGGTGTCCCAGAAACTGGCGTCTTCTGGGCGTTTTGGGAGTTTAACTGAAATATTATTTGTTGGAAGGTTTCGTTGTGATCGTAATTTTTGCATGTTCTTTTTATAATTTACCAGTTCTCGTGGTCATCCAACTGCTACGCGAAAAAAATGATAGACGCCGTTAGCGACGCCGTCCGAAACAGCAGGGTGCTGTCTACAGCTAGTACTACGTGCAACAAACCTACGATTAGGCTTCACTTGGAACGCCGACTAATGCTACACGAAAAATCACAGACGCCGTTGCGCCACCGTTTGCATATGGCACAGTGCTGGTACGGTAAACGTTACAATTACTCATTAGGTGACGGAAAAAAATTCGGTCACGGCAATTTTTTTTTTCGCTCCTTTCGTCCTGCACGGTAAAAATTGTCGTATGTTGGTCTAAAATTCTCAGGCATCAAAATGTAACACAGAGCACTCACCGGCATATCCCGGCCGACACTGGCAGCTGAACTTCACGTCCGACTCGTTCAGGCAACGGGCACCGTGCAAGCAGGGAGAGGAGAAGCAAGGGTCGTACTGGTGGCACGTCTTGCCGTAGTAACCGTCCACGCAGTGGCACGTGAAGGTGTGAGACGAGTTGGACTCGCACACACCACCGTGGAGGCAGGCGGACGGCTTGAGCAGGCACGGGTTGAAGTCGGAGCAGTTGCGGCCGGAGAAGCCCGTGAAGCAGTCGCAGCGGTACTCGCCGTCGCTGATGTTGACGCAGGTGCCAAACGTCTTGCACGGGTTCTCGGAGCACGGGTCGAAGTGCTCGCAGGCCTCGCCGTAGAAGCCCGGATCGCAGAGGCAACGGTAACCGGGCAGCGCTTCGGTGGCTTCGCAGGAGCCGTGCTTGCAGACGTTCATCTGGCAGTCTGCGACACGAGATCGGAAATCCTACTGTCACGTTGTGGCATGATATAACATGGCGAAGATATAGATAAGGATTGAACTAGTTACATGGGCGAACACACATACGGCAAAAGAAGTAACACACACAGCCATGGTGGCGATATCAGTGATTGTCGATAATCAGATCTGTGGATCAAACGCGTCGGCTACGGCTATTTGTATATTTCAGTCGCAGTAAAGTCGTGAGCACGGGTAGTGGTAATGCGGGATCGTAGTGCCGTGCCGTAAAGAATCAACACTAAAAAAAGAGCGAGTAAAAAGGGTGTCGTTTTGTCCCACTACAATAATCGTCATCTATATTGCGTTCCATCCTTGCGCTATAGCCCTGTGCCCGGTAAATTCCGGTCACGATCGACATGCCCATTATCAGGGTTACAATGCATTCTCGATAGGAATGTGGCCAGCGCCGAGTTTTCAAGAAAGGAAGCGCACGCAAGCCTGATGAGGATTATTTTTGTGAGACAAAAAGACACCCATTTTACTCGATATTTCTTTAGAGTAAACACCTTTCCTAAATTAACACGTTGCGCAGCATCGGAGCAGTCCGTCTGCCGAAAAAAAAAAAACTTATCCGTCATCCCGTGCAGTGCCCAATCTGAGGGAGCCGTCATCGAAGGCGCACACTGATAAGGTGCTGCGCTCGGGAGCAGTATAACCAGGCGAAGAATGAAATGTGCGCAAGCAGAGCCCACTGTAGGCAAAGGTAGGTTTTGTTTATAGCACTATTTGGCACGTGCTCCCGTGTTCACGATAACTGTTTGCGTGATTGTACAGTCACCGAAATCTTTACGTATAGAAGATGCATTTCTGTATGTCACCGCCGCACGTCGGAGCGAAGCTCCGCCAAATTGTCGCGGGCGCGTGGGCATGTTGGCGCGAATTTCCACTCACCCTTTTCAGAACCTAAATAAGTAATACGGCGTCGAACCACAGAAAGGATTGCCGCTCGCTAATGATAGTAAAGATTAGGGCGACAGTTCGTTCTAGTAAAGTTACTGGGGGGCACATTCGTTGATTGAAACGTATTCCGTGCTTGACGTGCATGCATTCTGACAGGCAGAACTGGTAACACTTCCGAGTGCTGTGGAAAATTTATGAGCGGCTAAAGTAACACAAGAAATGGTTGTCGGTGAGCGATGGCACTGTGGGATCTTAGTGACTAGCTAACTTTTGGGCTCAGTACGTGGTTCTGTATCTTTGACTACGGCAGGTATGAAATAAAAGAAGTACAGATTTCATGTATTTCGAGGTCTTGGTCTATGGTATTGACAACCAATTAACTCATTCCTAACAGCTACATTGTTGCAATGAAACATTAAAATCTGATGTTGACGAAATGTAAGATTTTTTTCAACTATCACTGGTCCATTGGAAAGGCGTGCTAGGGCAAACGCCCGCAACATCATATCATTAACACTTTCTTAGAATGTGCTGTAGCGCCTCCTCGTCACGACAGGCACCGCAAACAGCGTTGTCGACCTTTCCAATCAAAATGACTAAAATTTCGGGAATTCCATTCCTAGCCAGAAGCGGTAAAAGAGAGTGCCCGCTCTTTGACGGAGGCCAGTTGGCATACAGAAATGCATAAAATAGGATAGGCGGCGTTGGCTATTACACCGGTTGTATTGGCTGCTTGTCGGGCACCATAGACATGGTAGCTAAAGACGGCGATGGCAGTTTTTAGGTTTTTTAAAAAGAACTAACTTGGACAACCTGTTGTGAATGTGGTGTCGAATACCACGCAGAATCGACAGACAGCGATTGACCATGTGTGCACCATGTTATGTGTCGTCTTTTTCTGTTTTCAATCTTTTAATCTGCCGAGTCTCCTTCCTAAGCGTAGAGTAACAAGCCGGTTGTGCTCAACTGGTTAACCTGTCTGCCTTTTATTTATTTATTTATTTATTTATTTATTCACATTTCTCCTACATCACCGTCAGGCATTACGTAGGGGAGGTACACATAATAACTTCACTACATAGTTTTCAATCGAAACAATAGATTGAACAAATAAACAGCACTCAAAATATTTTAAGAGAAGAAAAAAAAACACTCGAATATTGGTGAGTGAAAAAAACGTCACAGTCATGCATTTGTAAACACCCACACGCTTCGAGACAGCAAACCATTTTTAGTGGCAGTGATATTGTAGGAGATGTTACAATGAAGAAAAAAAAAGAATTCATTATCAGCTTCATTGACGAGATCATCCTGTAGACAGTTCCATTCCTGTATTGTTTTTACGAAAAAAGGACTACCGAAAGAGTGGGTTTTGTAATGGTATTCTAATGTTTTTCGTGAGTGGTCTTGACGATTAGAGACGTACGTTGGTGTGAACAGATAGTCAAGAGGGTTAATGGCGTTTCCATTATAATATATACAATGAAGAAATTTAAGCCTGAGTTTCTGCCTCCTTACCATCAGTGTCTCCCATTTCAATGCTCGTTTCATTTCTGTGATGCTTGCAAAGGAATTATAGTTGCTGCTGACAAACCTGGCTGCTTGGTTTACACTATTTATTCTCTCACAGCTTATGGCTAATTATTCACTTACTCAAATATATTGACCTATGGTAGACTCACAGTCGATGCGCGTGGCGAATCGGTCAATGGGACTTCCGATGCCCTCTTCTCGGCCGTTCCAGGCGTACACCCGGTACTCGTAATCAGTCCAGGATCGCAGTCCGTGCACCGGGACACACTTGTCCACGGCGCCCGTGGTGACGTTGACGTACGAGGTGACGTTCTCCGACGTCGCTCTGTATTTGACCACGTAGCCGGAAACGTTGCCGAACAGGGGTCGCTGCCAGCAAATGCGCACGCTCGTCTCGTTCAACACGACGGCGCGCGTGTTCTGCGGATCTGGGAAAACAGCGAAAGAGTGCCCGAAAAATCAGGATCGCACATCACTAACACTCTCGCGTAGACGTGAAACAAAAATATAACACACAGATAAAACTGTTTCACCTGAAGTACAACATCTTAGTTCCATAGGAAAAAGTTCGTTTGATTTAGAGCTGGTGATCGAGGGCTACGAGGCCTTAGGCGTAGAACCCGCAAAGTAAGGATCTTTAAGGTGAAGCTTCTGGAAATGTTTGTGACATGTGGGCATGATTTAAGTGCAAAACAGACGCAAACCATGATTAAACAAGAAGTGAGGCACATCCTGCCAAAGGGTGCCTTGAACTTACACACGTCTAGTAGAAATGGAGCTGGTTCAAGAGACCGTCCCCCTCCGTAATTTAAGACTGAGGCCCATTCTGCGACATGTTTCCACTTCATCAGACAAGTCACGTTCTTCTTTAATTCATAAAGGTATCACTACGGAAGCTACCTGCAAGTAATCACCACTAAACATCACTGACTTGCATTAAAAAATTCAGCGGATTCCACGTGCCTTGGGAATCGATACTATGGGAAGCATGTGAGGTGGAAGTTCAATGTGTTTTATTTTTTTCAATTCAGCAAGACGCTATGACGTGACGCTAAATATATGATCAAATCCACGCTCACACATACGTTAAACGACCGCGATTGTATTACATTAGCAGTTTACAGTTTCGTAACGATGCCAACAGCAACATGAATATTAGCAACACCATAAGCGGTAAGCTGATATGAAGCACTAGTGTTTGTGCTGCACCTCGTGAGGGTGGTAGCCCTCAACGCTGATGCACAAATAAACTTCAGCGGATGGCGCCTAAATACAATTCACGCTAAGCCGTCATGACGGCTGTATTATAGAAGTACATACGTAATGTTTATAAAATCGGATAGCCAGCATCTAGTGAACTCCCCACAAAAAAAGCGAGCCATTGTAGATTCAGCTTGTAGCAGCTCCGCTACGAAAGCCAAATCAGAAATCAAAGGGGCCATCAAGTAGTTCACCATCACGATTGAAGCCATCAAGGCTACGCTTGACGGCCTCATAGAAGGTTTCATTTCACACAGTATCCGACACAACGAACTTGACAAGCATGCATTCTCCGTGAGTCAAACCACAGAGCCTACTAAGGGTGGTGAAGAATAAATGCTAGTTCCGCCTCAGCCGAATAGACAGCGGCTGCACATCGCGGCATCTTCTACGACCAGCGAGCCTTGAATTAAAATCATAGCAGAAAACCACAAGCCGATTAGAATTTGGCAGTGGAACTGCAGGGGGTTGGTTCCAGGGCAAGAGGAATGTGCTCCATCAATTCATCCGCTTGAGTCAGGAAAACCCGCCTGTCATCCTTCAAGAAGAAACGCTCAAACGCTCGGTCTCACTATATAGGCTACAAGGCGAACATGATTCACGATGAAGAGAAAAGGGGCATCAGCATCCTTGTAAGCAACAGAAGCACTTTTATCTATCACAACATCAACGATCAGTTGAAGAAAGTAGAGTGGTCCGTAACAGAAATCGTAGCTATATAGTAATCTAAAGAAGGGCAACAATTTTGGTCTCACTATATGTAGGACGCCTTCGGGTCCAAGGCAGAGATTCGCCGCAATCATTGCGAAGGCGACTAGCAAAGCAAGAAACTTTGCTCTAATCATAGCTCATACCTTCGATGTGTGTTTGGAAAACGTTGTCAGCGATCGATTTAGAGTACCTGGTACTCTACTATGGGAGAGCAAAAAGCCGTTCCTTGGGCCCCTCGCACTGCCTTCTACTCATCTGGCGTGGAGACACCCACATAATACCCACAAATGCATCGACCTATGGCAAAGTGCAGCCAACCATAACCTTAATTTATTCGCTGATCGGGCTTTCCCCTCTCGAATTGGTAATTAGTACTCTGGAGACTCTGCGCCGAATCTTACACTTGTTAAAATTGTCAATTTCAAGACCTGGTAAAACTTGTTGACCTTATTGACGGATAATTGTAGTGATCACCACGTCTTAGCAACTAGCATGTGCGCGCCGCCTCCGGAGGCGGCGCACAAATAAGGGCTCCCTTGCTACAACGACATGGTGCTGCAATCTACGCGTTCTAAAAGAAAAACCGCTTCTTGATATCGCTGCCAAATGGCGTTCATATCTCACACAGCGAAAGCAGTGCCTTAGAAGACAATTGTCGTTTTTTATTCTCAGATTTACACATGGAAGTCTGAGAAGCATGTCTAAGGACTCGACCAGGGGGGGGGGGGGAGGGGGAGCCCTGGCAGCTGTGCTTTTGTGCATGCTTGAATTTTTTCACATCTATGTATGCGAATGCTCAGAGCGAGTTCATCAGCTTCGTCTTTGCATATTATTTCGCGTATTCAGATTCATTTTTGAGCCGCTACGTGTAAGTAAGAGTGCGCCCATTCGTTGAAGTGAAGCCATAAACCTTTGTATGGAGGCGCGCAGGCTTTTCGTGTCTGTCACGAATTTGCTTGTATGTATACGCTTACACTAAGGCTTCCATGTCACTGCGCCAATGCGCGTTTTTGTTGTGTGAAAACATGCGTGTGCTTCAGCGCGTGTGTTTGCGCGCACTTCCGTGTGTATTACCATTCCCGTATTTTAGCGCGCGCATGCGCGAGTGTGCGTGACTACGTAGGCGTGCGTTTGCACACACAGAGCACACACACACACGCTCAGGCCAGCCGCTTCCCTTGGTGTACACTTCGCCTGTGTCACTCCACCCCTTCCCCACCACTCTTTTTGGAATCCTCGGCTGCGTCGGCGCCTTTCCTGTCACTCCGTTCGCCAAACACGGCGCGTTTCGAGAGACGTAAAAGCGCCTCTCGAGGGCAAAGCCGCCCGTACGGTGAGAGTAGGCGTAGGTGGGCGCGGCCGTGCCAGTGAAAAGGTGTACACACTGCGAGAGATGTGAGACACGTACGAAAAGAAGGAAAATGGCAATAGCGAAATAGGAGCGGCGTCAGCAACGGCTGACTCGGCAAACAAGAGCGACTCGGCGTCCATAGTGGCAGCCTGGCGAAAGGCGTCGCGTAGCTTCACAGGCACTGGCGTTGCAGCAGCGATGCGCTATGGCTTGTGTTGACTTTTTTTTTTTTCGTCGTTATATGGCATAGCTCTCAGTATGTCTTCTTTCAGCAGCTTTTCTGCCTCAGTGACACTTATTTCAACGCACGAGCCATCGGACCTGTTTGCCCTTCTATGGCAACATCCCACCTCTCCTGCAATCTTTTGCAGCTGACAAGTTCCCTTTTCGCGGGTCACTCAGGTTCTTCTCTTAGTGTTTTTTTAATGCGAAGCATTTTTTGGAAAACTTCGGCGACTGTGAGCGTTATCTATCTATCTATCTATCTATCTATCTATCTATCTATCTATCTATCTATCTATCTATCTATCTATCTATCTATCTATCTATCTATCTATCTATCTATCTATCTATCTATCTATCTATATAGCCGCCTACGACTTTTAAATCTCTTGGACGTTTGGATAATGGTATCAATACCAAACCTGGTATGATATACGATGACTGTATGACAAACATAACTGACTAGTTATAACACGAAAATCATGACATTCATGTCATAAATGTCACGATTTACATGTCGTGGTTTTGCTGCTCTTGCGGTAATTTCATTCACATGATATGTTGCAAAACTGGTGTGGCATAACATGACTGCATGGTGAACCCAAGTGACAGACCATGGAAATCATAATATGATTTTCATGATAGAACATGAAAATCATGATATGCATGTTATGTAGCCACATCACTACATGCCACACTGATGATGTGCTCACGGCCGTTTCGCTAGCATTTCATGTACCGAATTCGGTATCACGGGACGTGAATGGATGACGAAGGAATGTGACTGGTGCAAACATGATAACATGATAATCATGAGATTCGTGTCATGTAAAAACATGACTATATGCTACGCTCATGACGCGCTTGCGGTCGTTTTGCTAGCTTCACATGCACCAAATTCAGTATTACATGACGCGAACGGACGACGTAGGTAACTGACCCGTCCGAACATGACTACGTCCCACACTCGTGATGCGCTCGCGGCCGCTTCGCTACCTTCACATATGCCAAATGTTGGTATTACGTCACGTAAATGGATAGCGAAGGTATGTGATTGGTGCAAACATGATAATAATGAGATGCGTGTCATGTAAGAACATTAATACACGCCACGCTCAAGGCGCCAATACACTTCGACCTGACCCAGCGCGCATGCGCACCGGCGATCGTTTTATCGCGTCACGCTGGTGATGCCACGCCAGGCGCCGATATCCCCCTAGTAGAAACCAGCGGATATGCCTACTGACCTTCATCGTGGATATGTATGCCATATACTTTGCAGGCGCGCGCCCCGCTGAGTTGCTTTGATGCATGCGTGTTTGAGCGCACACGGCTCAGTCACGAAGAGAGGCAGACGCGGTGCTAAGTAACGTCGTCGGTGCGAAATGCAGCATGTCGCATTTCGCGCTGGTTGCCATCGGGCTTCGCCGACGGACGCTGGTCGCGCCTGGAGTCACACTATACAGTGCTCGCGTTTTGCTAGCGTGGCGTCGCTGCGCCCAGCCTGCGCGTGCGTCAACGTTGCGTCGGAGTATATTGGGTCCTTCATAACGCGCTCGACGCCCTTGCGCTAGCTCCACACGTATCGCGGGAAGTGAATAGACGACGAAGGTAAATTACACGTCCAAACCTGATAATCGCAATATGCGTTTCATGTAAAACATCACTACATGCTACGCTCGCAGCGTTCTCACGGCCATCTCATTAGTTCCACTTATACCAAGTTCGGTATTAC